TGAAGTATTTGTGGAATTACTATGTCTATATGGGACATATAAGTGCCAGGGGCCCCTCAGGCAGCCGGGGCCCCCCAGGCAGCCGGGGCCCTAGGCGCGCGCCTAGTGCGCCTAGGCCGTAATCCGCCACTGGTTACGACCATTTCTCGTCAACATATTGAATGCTAATAAATGTTTGAGGTATTTCCATAAATCTAATTTATCTTTAGCAGTAAATGTCCGAATGATAAGAATTCATATTGAAACAATTCCCATGTTACAATACTAAGCAATTTATTCAGCAGGCTAAAAATGCTGCTCATCGTGCGCTCGTTTCTAAATATGCCACAATGCGCCATTATAATACAATCCCTCGGGCCCCCTATATTTTCACCCGCGCCGTGCCATTCTAGTAAAATTTTAATTTCAGAAATGAATTCACCTTTGCAAACACGCGCGTACGATGTGCGCATCACACATAAAAACTTGCTTTGTATGTGGAATCAAACAGTATCCACGAATATTCACAGTGTGATAGCACAAAATTCAGAGATTTAAATTCATTTTTATTTTTTTACTAGCTTTTGCCCGCGACTTTGTCCCGATAGTGTTTAATAAAAATGTAATTCGTTTTTACTCTCTTGTTCTAGACATAGTATGTGTCAATTCTATCAATAAGAATCGCAATTTTATTTTAAAGAAATTAATTATATAAAGAGTTGCTAATAATGCACTTCAGCGCGCCATCTTGGATTCCACTATTTAACTATAACTATGATTGAATTGCAATGCCAACTTTTATCCTGTTTTTAGAGTTTTCCCGGCAATTATTTGAATTTTTCTCTTCATAAAAACCATCCTTGGACCGAACATTTTAAAAAAAGAATTGGCCAAATTGGTTTAGGCGCTGTTGAGTTATGCGCTTACTAACAGATTTCGCGATTCATTATCATATTATAGATGTTTTTTACTCTTTGAAGATGGTTACAATATTATTTTTCTGTGTGCCCAGATGTCACCATAAGTTATACAATTCTTTTTTGTCGTTTCAATAAAATACACAATAATAAATTACATTTACTGAAATTTTAACTTATATTGACGTGGTTATAAAATATATAAGCTTATTGCACGATTGCGCTCTTTCTGTGCATTTGTAAAATTTGATCACATTGAGTGCACGCACATCGATGTGTAAGTACAATTTCCTCTGCAAGCGGGCTCGGTTTATTCCGAAGGTTTTTAGATTTATCGCTCGATTTGTCAGGTCGAGGCCCGCTGACGTTAAAGGCGAGCAAGCGCTAACCCACTACACTGCGCCGTCCAAAACTACAAGAAACCTGGCGAAAACGAGGGCATAGTTAAATGCTTGGTTAGTTTCCTGCCTTCCACAATCAGAAATTCTATTAAATCAAAGTGTGAGGTTTCGCAAATGAAGACTTGTTGATTTCAAAATCGAATTCTAAATATTTTATGTGTTCTACTTCCAAATTAACAAATTTATAGAGGTTGTGCCGTGTTTTATAAAACACCTACTCGGGCTTATCATTTCAACTCGCATAAGAGAACAGAAAAGCCTTAAATGGAGGTTAATAATCCACTCGTTAATCTGACTGGTGTATAAAAGTGGGAAAAACGTAATATAGTGAGTGTAAACGAGCGATCATTTTGCACAAAGATAAATAAATGAGGGTAATATATCAACATAATCATTTATAAGAACAAGAAATATTATTAGTACTGTTCCCTTGTTAACTTGCTTGTAAAAAAATAAATAAAACTCAAAATGAGCAATGTGCTGTGAAACACGATGGCCTAAGGCATAAATTTAAATAAGATCCATTTTATGCACCTGGTGCCTGATATGTCTAGTATGAATTTATATAAAACTATGGGAAAAACTGAGAAAATATTTTATAGTGCTTTTGTTATTTTATGCTGGAAGGTAGCGAACACCTAGAGGTTTTTTGTCGGTTTTTGCGGGCTATTTACTATTTTATCCTAAAAAAATAAAGAAATGTAGGTATAATACAACCAAATTAATTTCAATTTTTCATATATTCACTTCAACGATGCAAAAGTGTTAGGATTTGTTTGTAGCAAATTCATTTTAAATTAGCAATCAACCGTACAATGCGGTTGGTCGAAAAATTTACGTAAAAATATTACTACTTCATTTCGTATTCAGCATGTCATAGTTTAGCATATTCTCACCATTTCTATAGAGGGATGGATTCCACCAGCTGAGGTTTTTCCTTTGCGGGTCTGCATTCGTAAAGCAGTTTCTCCTCCTGTTTCCTCCAACTTACGTACAAGAACGATGGGCACGCCGGAATGGAGTACAAGCCCTAGAAATTAATTAAAATTTACAACAAATGTGAAATGAATTATAACAGGAATATTTTTTTTCCATTGAAGCAGAGACTTTAAAAATTAACCAGAAAAATGCTGGCAATTGAGTTTTTTCTCCATATAAAAATCTATAATATAAAAACGAATCACAAACTCTGTTGGTAAGCGCATAACTCAACAACGCCTAAACCAATTTGACCAATTCTTTTTTTAAAATGTTTGTTTAACTCCAAGGATGGTTTTTACGGCTAGAAAAATTCGAATAATTTCCGGGAAAACCCTAAAGACAGCCTTTTTCAATAGGATAAAAGTTGACATTGAGATTCAATCATAATTCCCGAACTCGCGGGAAAAAGCTAGTACTTAATAAATAATAATATGCCACCAACAAGTGCATTTGATAAATGTACTCGCAGTTACTCAATTTGAGTGAAATCTCATAGCTGTCCAAAAGTTGTTGTGAGAGAATAACAACTAAACTAATTCCTCTGCAGGAATATAGTTGGCTAAACTTTATCTAGAGAAGTTGGTGGGATGCACCGTTTTGTTCACTTGTTCAGACTGTAACAAGGCACAACTTTGCAACAAATTTTAAGCATATATTCAGTTGAGAATTGAGATACATGACAAGTACCAAACATTCTATACATTCTTTTTAATTTGGCAACTTGATTGTCTACGTTCAGGTTGCGTGGCAAGTCGGAATGACAACTTGTTTCATACGTTGTTTGCATAATACATAAATTCTTCCAAAACCATTTGTCTTGTTTAATCCGCCCGTAAATAGATGCAACACGCATATATTTGGCAGTGCGCACGCGTGCATTTATAACCGCCACCACCAGAGGCATCCAGCATACAACAACACAATAATCGTAACAAGCAACTGACATGTCGCAAACCTACAGCTATGCCAGTAAAATGTTATTTGCGCAATGGCGCAGGATGTGTTTTGCATGTATACCGCAACGCGATGCTTGGCCATACCATAATACGTTGCCCCAAGTACCAATGCAACAGCGTATAATTATATAAAGTAATTGTTATAGGGCTTTAACTTAATTGCCAGAACTTAATCGCATATGCACTACTTGTAAACGTATGTGAAAGAGGCGAAGGCAGCGCGTGCATTCAATGTTCACAATTTGCTTCGGCAACATTTGCTGTTATTTATATTATTAACGCTTTCTCGTTCAGCCGGGGAGGAGGAAATTGTTTTGGTGGTAGGAGTTGATCTGAAACAAATATGTACACATAGTTGAAAGCAGTAATATTATCATAATGCAGTAAATTTGGCTTTTTGATATTTCAAATCTATGTCAAATGAAAATGTTGAACTAATGGTGAAACGTCGTTGTCGCATTGGCCTTTCGTTTATTAATTCCCTACTGTTGACTAAGAACCAACCGGATCGAGCGAGCGCTGTTTTAAGTGCATCCACTGATTATTTTTCGCTTTGCCTTTGCGTGTCGTAAAAGTCAATTAAGAGGGAGAAAGCGTCGCTTCCAAGACAGAATACCGCGCGGTTGAGACGCACACAGCGGACCCGTTCAGTTCAATTATAATTTAATTAACGTTTTGATCTTGCGATGCGTGCGACACGCTAATGGCACACTTTTCTCGACGGTTTTCCGCGCGCGCAAAAACACATCGCAGGCGTTCTGATACGAAATACGGAAAGGGAGTTGTTGCGACGGGATGAAATATCGACCAAATCGAAGCGTAACGTCTGCGAAACGTTACGTTAGGGAAAGGTTATTTATGTTGCTCTGCATTCAATTGAGCACTAATGAAGCGGAAACCGAAAGAAAGACGACTGATCTAATACGGTTGAAAAAATCGACGATTTGACCTGACTTTGTGCTAAAAAGCGCAATGCGAATGCGTCGGTAAAGCGTAACATACATATATCTGTTGATGTATTTCATAAATCAGGTCGGAGGTTTCACATTTCCCGAACAATTTGATACGCCTTTAATGCCAAAATGCACAACCAGCATGTACTGGCCCGTTTTGTTCGTTTTATGTTACCATGATGTGTTTGTCATTTGACTCCACGCTTCTTCTGCAAACGTTATATTAAAGTTGGTATTCCGCGACTATAAAATACCCCGACGAGTAACCACACACAAAAAAGGCAAGCAAAAACCTCGGAGAGTAGGAAAAACGAAAATGTATGTTTGCGCATGGGAATAGGGCATGATATACCATTCGTATGCATAAATAAGACACAACAATGCTTATAGTTGTGACTGGCTGCACTGTTGTACAATGCCAAATATTTGCGCTCGCTGCAACGCGTCTCGGCGCCTCCGCCATGAAGGAAACTAGAGCGAACTTGAAATAAGCATCTCTTCAATTTACATTTTCTTCGCTTATCATTTTGCGACGCTGTATAACGAAAAGCGACTTCACAGCGTTCGGGAAGATTGAAAATTGCAAATGAGGTAAATACTGAGAAGACTGCGACCAATGGCAGCCAGCGGAATTTCAATTAAAACTAATGACTAAATTAATCGTTAAATAAATCGTCATAACAACCGGGCGCGTTTTGTTTCGTTAATTGGTGCAATTATACGGAAACCGCGTTTTTGTTCCAAGAAGGAAAATGATGCGGAAAATCGTGGGGGTTTGATTATAAGTATGATATCGATTGATTTCTGTTTCAGCATGGAGTGGCGGTTTGGACCTTCAGGGTCCTTTGTTTCTCCAAGAGCCACCGCATCGGGTCGAGTTTAGCAACAGCTCAGGTGGCAGAATCGACTGCACAGCTCACGGGAGTCCTACACCTGAGGTCGAATGGATTCTAGCGGATGGTTCTTCAGTTAGACAGGTATATGAAGTTGTTTTTCAAGTAATAAAAATCATTGTTACAAAAACAAAAATTAATAAAATGGTTGTTGATAGTTTTCTTTTTTAAATTCATTTTTAAAATAGTTTTATCCGTAATTATTTGTGTGCAAATTGTGTTGCAAATTGTCGGCATATTTCGCCGTTCAAAGTTTTGGAGTGGAAAAAAGTGCACATATTTCGCATATTGATTGTAGCGTTTGCCGCTTGCGCATGCAGTGTGTGTTTTGTTGTGCACTTAATTTAAATACGTGACACGAAGAAAATATGTACGTTTAGCATGTAAATGCACCACCATTTTCAGCTCTCCACACATGTTTAAATACCGAGGGTTAAAGTAAAATTTAACCAATACATGTTTTGAAAACCTTCAACCCATTAATACAATTGTAATTTTTATCGTGTGAGAATTAATTTTATAATTAATTATAATTTTAACTTACATTTGCATACTTGTGTGCAATTAGTTTATACAAACATTTTAGCAGCACCTGTATTTCCGTTTACATTGTGCGCCAGATAGAAATTCGTTCGGAATACGGTCCACATTCATAAACTTTATACAGTAAGCAATACACAATGAATTCGAGCTTTATTCCCTGGACACTCATAAATTTCGGCGTAACACAGGCGGGAGCCTTTAAACACGCCCGTGCCGTGCCCTTTTTCGCAAATCCTTTTGACGATAGCAGAGGATGCAGAGATGCGAAGCGCGTGGAGACGGAGAAAACTCAATAAGGCAAATGCCTCGCATTTATTCGACTTTATACGCCGATTGATTGTTTTACTTCGGCACATCCGCGGATGCCGCAGGAAATTCGTGTGCCTCGCAAACTTTTATTATTTTCGCTCACAATTACGTTTCCAATTTATTCCTCGTTTCGTCTCATTGATGTCTAAATCAATTTGCGCTACCTACTTACTATCGGTATCGGCAGGCAACTTCTAAGGCAATTCAAATTTGTTTCAGATCCCCGATTTAAGATTGTTATTTCCCAATGGATCCATGGTTTTTCCGCCATTCCCAAGCGATCGCTATCGACACGATGTGCACACGGCGATGTACCGGTGCCGACTTCGCAGCACGTTGGGCAGTGTGCTCAGTCGTGATGTGCACGTCAAAGCTGGTAAGTTAAAAAAAACGGCGACGTCATTGATGATATATGTATGTGCCACATTTTATATTTTTTGGCCGAAATAATTAGTTAGCAGTTCGTTCGCGAAAAATAAAATAAAAACTCATTTGCTTTGAGTGTAAAAGCAAATATTTTTATATTAATTAGGCGGACGCACTCCCTGCCTACACGAAATTTCCATAGCGTATTTAACTAGTATGTTTTTTTCCTAAACTTTTTCTAGAAGCATGTTTACATATTGCAATATAAAATATGCAAAAAGCGCAAAGGGGTAAAAAGGCATGTCATTAAAACTTTTCGCAGCAGCTAACTGCCAGCTCAGCACATAAAGTTGATAAGCGTAAGCAGAGCCCAAGCCCTTTGAGGCATTTACATTTTTATTTGTAGCAAATATCAAGTTAATTTATTTTGGGCAATTGCCCATTACGTTTGCTATTTAAAAAGGCGTTCAAACCGAATTTGGCGTTTGCTATGCAATATACGTTCACGACTTTTAAAAAAAGAGGAAACCTATTGATTGTTTGCTCTCTTTCGGTCTACTTTTTTGTCGGAATGTGAAATATTTAATTTGACATTACTGGAAATCCTTCAACCTGGCAGTCATATACCTATATCTAGAGGATATATATGCGTACGTTCAATCATCAGGATGGCGTCGGTTTGAGCGGTTTTCCACCTGCGCGTTTATTGAATTTGTTTTAGAAATTCCAACCCCGCCTGTAAAATACTGGGCGTGAGCAACGCGCGTGCCCCGCGGCAAACTAATAAAACTAATAAAAGAAATAAAATCGGCGGAGACTTTCCAGATCGTGCTCGTTGAAATGTTTCGATCCGCAAAGTTGGAACTTCTTCATTGAGTTACCGCCTGGTGATAACCGTGAAGAATTATAGGTGAAACTTTCCCACCAAAATTTATCTTGCACGTAACTTCATAAATTCGTTTTTTATGTCTCCGCGAAATGAAAAATATTAGTCGTGTATACGCGTTTTATATCAACTCAAATAATTCTAAAGTGCTGCTCGCGTGTGCGCCTGTGGTTTCATTCAGCTCGGCGTTTCCTTCCTTTTTTTTGCTTTTCTGCTCAGCAAAGACTTATTCCTACGCCCTGTGCGCTGCGCGTAGACCGACCTCGCTTCCCGGTTGTCTCCTCTGCCCCGAGACGACATTTCTCTTTTCTTGCTTTGCTCTTTGCAGAATAATCGCAGAAATGGCGAGGTTGTAATTTCCGGCGACTACCATTTGTTGCGGGCGCGCCGAATGGCTGATCACAGAAACGAGGCGTACGCGACGAAGTCACTTCTGTTCCGTTCCTTTTCACGCCAAATTAACCACCGTTGCCAGAGAGCAGTTTCCTTTTGTGGGGCTTCGTACTTAACCAACGCCAACTTAGTTTCTATTACACTAGCTCCCAAAAGCTAGGGCCGCGGGTTCACCTTGCACGTATCTTATTCGATTACAACGCAATTGAAGTCAATCGATTAACCCTGTTGACAATATTTCGTGTGTGTTTGTGCAAGATATAATTGATGACCAAAAACAATGTGTGCGGAAATGGACATAGGGGAGGGTGGGGCAAAGTGGGCCCCAAAAGCGAAAAAAGGGACTTTGTTTACCTTTTTTCACTCGTTACACTATTTTTTACATCCTTGTTCAGTATTCAATATTAATAAGACGTGTCTATCAAAATAAAAAAAATCAGAATATGGGGCAAAGTGGGCCCCCACTCATAAAAATTAGGCTCTTACCTTTGTATTAATTTTTTGCTTATATTATTTTCTTTTTTTATTTCTTACTTCGAATTTGTTGTGGATAAGTTGTTCTTGCAACTTCATCTTATATATCAAAAATTTTAGGGGGTCCACTTTGGCCCTCAATTTTTTAAGCATCCTGAATTTCAGGGGGCCCACTTTGCCCCCAGGGGCCCATTTTGCCCCCCCTTCCCCTACAATGTCTTAGAAATTTTGTTCGGCGATGCAATTTTAATCGCGACTTGGGTTCGGCACTTGGCCAAATTATAGCCGGGAACGGAGACACGAAAGCGCCCATAAACGCTTTCAACATGGCGCGTTGATGTGCTTACCTCCTTAGAAACCTTTATTATGATGACATCGCAAGCCTCGCCAATGGCATCTCCCGCTTTAAAAACCTAATAAATTATTAAGGTATAAGTTTCAGCACACATTTATTAACTAGATATAAAGTACATGCAACGCTTTTAATACCTAGGAGTATATACATATTATAGAGATACCTATATTTAATGGAAATCCACAATAAGACATTATGCACAAACCATGTAACCATACAGTTGTATCAGTGCAATAACCCATTCTATTTCGTATAGAACATGTAGGAGTATGTGCAAGTAGAAAATAGTTTGCGTCGAGTACGCAAACTTTCCGTAATTAATATTCGCATGTTACCCACCATAACTACCAACAATTTGCGAGCGAGCGCTTGGTATAATTGCGAATACATATTTAATTCACAATTAATTTCTATGCACATAACTCAACGCCAGTGTGTCGCGTGTCGATGCTTAGGTTCCTCGCCTCGGAATGTTTTGCTTCCGCGTCGGCTGACATGTGTGACTAACTAATTAAACGTACGGCTGCCACCCCAACGGCTTTAACTAACACCAAATTACTAAGAAACAGTCGTCACATGCACCTGGGTAAAGAAAAAAAGTTTTAGTTAACATTTTGAATTTAAAAACTTATGTGTAATCCCGTTGAAAAGAAAACAGTGTCAGTTAGATGGCAACCAGAGGAAAACAAAAGAACGCGTCCCAAGCCGACACTCGAGAACGATGAAGTATTCAAAGGTACACACGCGGTGCAGGAGTAAAGCTCAGAGCTCGTAATCTGGAGCTTTCCCGGCGACGCAAGGAGCTGTACACCTAATACCCCAGCCACGTACATGGAGTGAACTTGAAGGACAACACAATGAAGTTGTAAAGAGCTAGGCAAGAAGCTTTATGCTCCCGCGATTCTCGCATGCACAACAAGTTCTTGCGATTGATTTTTCACGTACGCTCAACGTAAAAACGACCGTGCGCACATCGAACACACAACAAGTCCCTGGGTTCAAAATAAAATAAAAATTCATAGCTGGGCCACGTCTGCCTCTCACGTCTAGTACGTGCTGGGCTGGTATTGCTAAGTACCTTTATTGCTAAAATAAAAACAAGCTGCGCGCGCGCAAATGGCGCAAAGAAAAACGAAGAAAAACGCTGGAATTTATATTTAGCAGCTGTTGGACCCAATTCGCGACGGCACGAACCGCCGGTGCGCATCTGCCTCTCCTGCGCCACCAACACATTACGAGCACTCCAGCGTCCGCTTCCCATCCTCATCGTAGAACTAGCAACGGCGAGCGCATTCTCGCCGCTGTACCTGGGAAGCTTTTAAATGATATCAATTATTCAAGGTGCGGTTCTGCATATCACTCCGGCGTAAAATACGACATGCTCAACCCGACATTTTTGGGTAATTGAAGCCATCCATCATACGTGCATCTGATACTATGTGTGCATTCGCTTTGCAGTCATTTAACAATCTAATTTTTTCAAAAAATTGCTTGCTCGATTGTCTGAAACGAATTCTCGCTTGGATTTTTTTCATCTCGGTTGCGTCACTACTACACGACTGCATTCAGGATATTTACGTGGAGCTAATAAAAGTCGAGCAATTTAAAATTTCGAACGAAGCGAAAATGCGTCTATGCCATCGGAGCAAGCTTTTACACTCGGCTGGAATACTCAAATCTTCAAAGAGTTTCATGCTGTCGCTCCCTTGGCGACCATATATATGACACCGTACTATATTAAATGTAATTTCTGCCTTTACTTGACTAGCGAAATCAAATTATGCGCGTTATATTTTTAGCCTTTCGTTTATAGACTGCAACGTCAAAAGTCTTGCATATTAGAGTTTTGCTATGAAAACTTGTAGCTAATAGTTGATACAGTTAGCAAAGATTTGAGCATACAGATAACTTCGAAAAGTAATTTTTGATTATAAGTCTCATAAAGAGATAATCTCGTCATGCTCATATAAAGATTTGAAGGAAAACCCAAAAGTGTCTCGGAAAATCAATTTTCGTAACTATTGACAACTCAGCTCATACTACGAATACTGTACAGTCACGATCAAAGCTCATCGCTATCAAGAAGCAACGCTTCCATGAATCTACAATGACTGATGGTCTTGAGCTTAGGAACGTTTCAGCGACTCGTAAATTGCCCTAATTATACTTCACAGGAATAAAAGCCGGCGTATTCAGGAGCAAGATTATCCTACTAAATCCCTATAAAAGCTCCATGTGTAACTTTGCCATGCTCCCGTTGCGCTAAAAACTTGTGTAATATTTGCGTTTTATTTGCGTTCGCAGTCGTAAAGCAGAAATATGAAATTCAAGTGCACGACGAGTATGTGATCGCCGGCAACACTGCGGTGTTCAAGTGCCAAATACCGCACTACGTCGCCGACTATGTGATGGTGACGTCATGGGTCCAAGATTCGGCGATAAACATCTACCCGAATACAGACATCGGCGGCAAGTATGTGGTACTAGCCAACGGCGATCTGTACATCAGTAATGCTGGACCTGCCGACGGCTACAAGAACTATGCATGCAGGACCGTCCATCGGCTCACAGGTAAGTAACTTTGACTCAGAAAGGTTTTACACAAATTACTGACGCGGGTCGGCCCGCAAATGGTAAACTCGAAACTTGCGCGATGCAATAAAGTAGAGAGTAGGGTGTCTTGATTGTGGCATCAGCGTTACACCGTATACAGCACAACAAAGTTTAATTTGAATTTTTAAGCGGACACTGTTCCTCGTGTCTCCGCACAGCGCGCGATCAAGAGAAGCGCAGGGAAAGCGCTTTTATTTGCATAATTCATACACTTTCCGAGGCTTCAACTTAATGAAAAGTTATTCAAACTTTTACGTTGCATCATGCGCGTTTGCGCGTTTTCAACGACGTCAGTCTCCACGAAAATGAAAACAAAAATTCATATAAAACAACAGGCCGCCGTGCTCTCGAATGCCGGCATACGTTACCTCGAATAAAAGTTTCACCTTTGGAATTAAACCTGCAATTTCTTTGGTGGAATTTGTTTCACACAAAGCAACTCGAAGTTATTCCGGCAGTAGATTTTAAATTTTTTAAACAACAGTTTATGCAACTATGATTCACTACGTCTTCATACCGTGGTAGAAGAGTAATTATTTTCTGGAACATCGAAAGCATTTAACAAGGTGGAAAAGTTAATTTTCCGTCCAGGCGAACAATGAAAGAATTAACTTCCTCGCGTGCATGTTTCATTGCATTGTGTTAGTTTATCACATTATCCTTCGGGCGTTCTGTTCCCGACTGAAACTAAAAGGGCAATAAATACACTATTGGAAAACTATCGAGAGCGTGAAAAAATCGAACGACCATGTAATCCGTTTCGATCTAAAACACAACCGAATACGTAACATCGGCCCATAAATTTTAGGGACGGTCGGAAAAACCGATTCGTATCACACATGATATGTTACGCAATTTTTGCTACTCTCTAAAATTGTAGTGGAGCTTTCGTTGATAGATTTGAACAAGCGTTGTGTTTTTTTGTTCGTTGCGAGTTTACAAAAGCTTCGATTCGAATCAGAATCATGTCATTGGGTAAAGATTTACGACAAATGTTCTATGGTTTTTGCCTCTCAAACTGATATTCCAGAAATTTTGCTACTTTACTCGACGACGTCGACGTTCGCACAAGTTGCACAAGTCTTCTATTTTTAATGCAAGCAAATGGGCGCTAAGGGCACGGAATAGATCTGCATTTTGTTGATGCTGTACTCCAACAAATTGCTCCGTAACGCCCCTTGAAAAGTTTATAAACCTTTGCCGCCTTGCAAGATTCGACTCGCTCGTCTTTTGTTATTACACTTGTGTACACAAGCGCTTGGCATTAAGCAAATCTAATATGAAACGTACACTGGTTTGTTTTCGAGCTTGTTTTGTTCTTGCTGTTGTGCCAATCCGGAATCGCACGGACGCGGCACAATCTCGTTTTGAATGTTAAAATGAATGAAACTGAACATGGCGCACAGCCGGACTGAAATATTGTCTGCAATTATCTCACGCAGGCAAATTTTAATGCAGGAAGCCTTCCTTTGGAATTCTATCTGCATGTAGCCTACATCCTACTTCCGTATGATATCTGCATTTCACGTCACCAAGCGCTGATTTATAAGCTTCCAAATGAAAACACGTAACTTTTTGTTTTTCCAGGCGAGGTTCAGATAAGTGGATATCCGGGACGAATAATTGTGACTGAACCAAAAGATACCTTGCAGCCGAGCATTACCGCCGGAAAGTACAATGCCCGCCGGGTGGGACTAGGTGATGACGTGACATTACCATGCGTTGCCCAAGGATACCCAATACCCAGCTATTATTGGAAAAGGAAGCTGCAAGGACAGAGAGTACCTGTTGCACTGGGAGAGAGACTAACCATGCTTACAGCAGGTCTGCTTAAGATCTCGAAGGTAAAACACGTCACAACCATTCGTTATTTTCGTATACGTTGGCGTGAGCTTCGTCTTGTCCCAATGGGATAGTCGATTTTATTACAACGCATAAAATGCCTTTTCAAGTTAGCGTGGAACAATGAACCGCCGGGTGTGCAACTATGCGCCATTGCACTTCCGATATTAAAATTGTTGGAGCAGACTTATGGAAGTCGTTTATCAAGTCAGCTCAAATTCATAATTAAATTGCGCGAATATTGTGCACGGTAACCACCACTCAGACTCGTGTAATTTATAATTATTACAGGTGCGGCTAGAAGATCGCGGTGTGTACGAATGCTATGCAAACAATTCGGCGGGTGAAGAAAGCGTTGAGGTGACGCTGGAAATAACAGCGTCCCTAACGGCTCACGTACAGCCACAAGTACAAGTTGTCGACGTGGGCAAGGAAGCCAGCTTCCAATGCATTGTGGGGGGCTATCCAATCTCACAGATTAGTTGGATGCACAACGGCAAACCGATTGCGCCGGATAATCGTGTAGAGGTGATGGTGGAACCGCCACGCTTGACCATTCGGCAATTATCGAAGGACGATCGAGGCATGTACCAGTGTATTGTGAGCAACAACTGGGATCAGGCACAGGCGACCGCCGAGCTTGACATGGGTGACGCTGGACCGGAACTCGTATACTCCTTCTCCGAGCAAACGTTGCAGCCAGGGCCGACGGTATCGCTGAAATGCGTTGCGTCCGGAAATCCACCGCCACAATTTACATGGACCTTGGACGGCTTTCCAATACCGGACCATCCCCGTTTCCTCGTCGGGCAATATGTAACTATCCAAGACGATGTCATTAGCCACGTGAACATTTCTCACATTAAAGCTGAAGATGGCGGAGAATACACTTGTATAGCAGGAAATAGTGTCGGCAAGATTGCGCACAGTGCTCGTGTTAATGTCTTTGGTCTACCGTTTATTCGACAAATGCCGAAAATTACGGGTATTGCGGGATCTAGTCTGATTATTAAATGCCCAGTTGCCGGATATCCAATTGAAACTATCACATGGGAACGCGAAGGCCAGACTTTGCCAGTTAACCGCAGACAAAGAGTGTACGCAAACGGAACTTTAGTTGTTGAGCAAACACAACGAAAAGAGGACGCAGGGACTTATACATGCCAAGCACAGAATCGACAGAGAAACTCGTCCAGGCGAGACGTCGAAGTTCAAGTTATCGGTAAGTCAATAAAATCATGCCCCTTTCAAATCTACTAACTCGCTGTGCTCAGCTTCAAATTCAAGTCAGTGAAAAACTTTTTCCTTGTTACTTTGTTCCCTCAGTTCCACCTAAGATATTACCCATAAATCCGATGACGGATCTGCTACGTGAAGGAATGCGCGCGGCGATAACGTGCGTAATAATGGAGGGTGATTTGCCAATAACCTTCCGATGGGAGCGGAATGGCAAACCGGTTTCTAACAACGTCGTTCTCGGCACGGTCGTAAGAAGAATCGATGAATTTTCATCGTCACTTATTATCGAGCAAGTATCGTCAACACACAGTGGCAATTACACTTGCATTGCAAGCAACGTCGCTGGTGCCGAACGTTATGGTGTACCATTGACAGTTAATGGTAGCTATTCACATCGGCAAAGTATTCACACAAGGCTATTTATTATTGTTATTTTTCTTAGTACCGCCACGTTGGACAGTGGAGCCGGTGGATTCAAATGTTGCCGCAGGGCAAGAAGCAACATTAAACTGCCAAGCTGCTGGATATCCCACACCTGCCATAACATGGAAACGGGCTGTTGGTAAGTTGGCAAACAAACATAGAAATACATTTAACTTTTTGTTGGTGTTACTTCTAGGAAGTCAACCAGGCGAATATAAAGATTTTCTCTTTGAGCCAAATGTGCAACAGCAATCAAACGGCTCTCTCACATTTAAGCACATTTCAAAGGAAAACGAAGGACAATACTTGTGCGAGGGCAAGAATAACATTGGTACTGGAGTGAGCAAAGTAATTTTTTTAAAAGTGAACGGTAAAAATGCTAACGATCGTTCTAGACTTTGTGGTTTTATTGAAGTCTTTTTTCAGCACCGGCGTACTTCCCACAGAAAACGAAGCAGATTCAAGTCGTAAAAGGTGAGCATGCACATTTGCAATGCTCTGCGGTCGGCGACACGCCGATGGAGATAATGTGGAAAATGGGCGGTCAACAAATCGTCAGCGATGTCGACCAGCGTTACAGTATTCGAGAGCAGACACTGGTGGAAGGAATGGTCTCCGAGCTGGGCATCGAACGGACAATCAGACAGGACACAGGCGTTTTTACGTGCTCGTCGTCGAACGCATACGGACAAGATGAAATGAACATCCAGTTGATTGTTCAAGAGATACCCGAATTCCCCAAGAACGTGCGCGTTACCGAGCAGCTAAGCAGATCGATCGGCGTTTCGTGGACTCAGCCACACGCAGGAAATAGTCCAATCAGCAATTATATCATTCAATATAAGGAGGGTTTAGGTATGTACTTCAGTTCCGCTTAGTTTGTTGTCGTTTTATGCAAGTGCTAATAAAAATTGCAGATCCCTGGCCGACGCAGCCGTCGAAAGTTTCCGTGCCTGGCTCACAAACATCCACAACAGTTGAGAATCTAAAACCATCACAGATATATCATCTACGAGTATTAGCGGAGAATCGTCTAGGGCTTAGTGAACCGAGTCAGGTAGTTCAAGTGAGTACTCTGGAAGAAGTCCCCAGCGGGGCCCCGTTAGATGTGCGCGCCGAAGCTAAAACATCGTCCGAACTAACGGTTACGTGGGAGCCGCCGTCGAGAGACACGTGGCACGGAAATCTATTGGGTTATCACGTTGGCTTTCAATTAGCAGTCAAGGATTCGAATGATCGAGGCGCACAAAGCTATACGTTCAAGAGCGTCGAAGTACGACCGCATTTTGGCGGCGAGGCGTTGTTACAGGGTCTGAAGAAATACGCGACCTACAATATCATAGTTCAGGTAAATATTTCAGCCCCACATTCATTCGTCTTCGAACGGACAGGTGACGAATATTAATGATTGGTTTGCAGGCGTACAACAGCAGAGGGTCCGGTCCAGCGAGCGAACAAGTGAGCGCTCGGACATTGGAGGACGCGCCATCAGTGCCTCCCGAAAACGTACAGTGCTCTGTTCTCAGTGCTCAAAGTCTTCACATATCATGGGAGCCACCGCAATTGGAGGGCCGCAACGGCATTATCGAAGGCTACAAAGTAACTTATCACTCGATTGGCGAGTGGTTTGGTGAGTTAAATAAATGTCTGTGATTAATGTTCCCTTCGACAATATTAATTACGCTCCGTTACTCCAGATAACGACGATCAGCAAACGAAAGTAATTACTCAACAACGCACAACAATAACCGGCCTCAGAAAATACACCAATTATAGCATTACTGTACTGTCATTTACCGTATCTGGCGATGGCGTGAGATCTGAAGCTGTTTATTGCCACACTGAAGAAGACGGTAAGCTAAAAAATAATGTGCAATTGCCTAAATTTTAGAATTATTTTTTATAATAGTGCCGTCTGCGCCAGCTGAGATAAAAGCCGTTTTGAGCGCGCCAAATAAAATTCTTGTCTCATGGCTGCCACCAAAGTATAGCAACGGTGCCCTGGTGGGATATACGTTTTACATTGGCACGCTTGTGGACGGCCGTGAAGAGGGAACCAATAAGCGGGTGTTGAGCCCGACGACTGAAATGTTTGAGATTACCAAGCAGGACGGCACGACCTCAACGTGCCAATTTTGGGTAACGGCATCCACACGGGTAAGGAAGTTGTAATTAATAATGAATTTCAATCAGGACCGCTTGAATAATTGAACGTCTCTCGTCTGGCCGCTTTATCTGATACAAATTATCTTATACGTTCCAGGTCGGCGAAGGCGAGGGCACGCGTGTAGTGACCGTATCGTTATCGAAAACGGTACCGGGCAGAATAGCGTCATTCGGTCGCGAAGTCGTCAGCGCGTGGAAGCAAGACATTATCCTGCCGTGCAAGCGTGTCGGAATGCCATTGCCGAATCCAATTTGGCGCATAAACGATCAGCCGCTTGAAGTGGGAGGCCGACGCGTCATCACCCCCAATGCAACGCTGGTCATAAAAGACATCCAGAATGTCGACGAAGCAAACTATTCGTGCAGTGTGGAGAATCAGCACGGAAAGGATGAAATTCATTACAGCCTTAAGGTATTGGTGCCGCCAGAAGCTCCGTCACTGACCGTTGTCGATGCCTTCACGGACAGTCTCCACCTGCGATGGTCGGATCAAAAGAATGGCGGCTCTCCTATTCTCGGCTATGTGATCAATTACAAGCGGGATCACGGCGACTGGGAGGAATTGCAAATTTCGGCGCGCACCGACGAGTACATGCTACGGAATTTATGGTGCGGCACGAGATACTCGCTCTACATTACAGCGTTTAATAGGATTGGCACCGGCTTACCGTGCGACATTGTCACAGCGCACACGAAAGGCACAGGTGATTAATAAAGTGTATTTTGTGTCTACCCGCTCAATTCTAATCTCATGCAACTTTACTTTCAGTGCCTGTAAAACCGAAACAATCACAAATACTGACAATGAACGCAACGGTCGTCACCGTGTGGCTAGACTCATGGGGAGACGGTGGTTGTGGCATTTTGTACTTCGTTGTTGAATATCGTGCTGGTCGGCACTCCACGTGGATAATGTCGTCAAACCATGTCAAACCAACGGAAAGAATCTACAGCATATCGGAACTTTGGCCAGCCACAGAATATCAATTGAAAGTCACCGCGCACAATAACGCCGGAGATTCGCCTGCCATTTACAATTTTACCACTCTGACATTGCTCGGCTGTAAGTGACTGCAACATATAACAATGTAGCAACTCTTTGATTAATCATCTGTTTATATTAGTCGCTCCGGAATTATCCCCGCCCGTTTCACATTCCGGTGATCACCCGTTGGCGAGCGCACGAGTTCTTGTTCCAATTATTCTAACACTACTCATCGTCATTGCGCTAATAGCAACACTATTTTGGAGAAGAAGTTAGTATTATAAGTTCACACATACATCCGGTAACTAAGTATATATTTTTGGCTTCACAGAAGTTCGCCTAGATCGTGATCGACAGGTGCGAACACTGGGTGAATCCTCATCTATGGCGCAGATTCAAAACAAGCAGAATCGCGACCAGCAGTATCTGGCGGTTCGCGTAGGGCGTGGTCCGCAGCCGATTGCCGTGGAGGATGCTTACAAAGCGGAGTCGGCCGATTACATCGAAGACATCTGTCCTTATGCAACATTTCAATTATCGAAACCGGCATACAGCGAAAGTTCGTACAGTGGGAATGTCTATAGTGGGCCGTACCATTCGGTACGAGGGTCTTTTGTATATCATGATGTTAAACCTCCACCTATTGATAAGTTTAAGTTAGGACATGTAAGTTTCTCTTATTGTTTTGATTAAGTTACACTCTGTTTACGTATTGCTTTTGCTGATTACTTACGCTTTCTTAAATTTTGTTATTGTTGTTGACTAGATCAAAGTATATGTTTTGAAAGAATTTAACTTGACTTGTATGTTTTATGTTTTATTCTAGAGCAAAGAGCCTGAATACACAAAAGTTAGACGAAAAGGCGGGCGTCTAAGAGACCCGCACTCCGAGAGTCAAGGTAAATGATTAAAGATAGCAAATTGGTATATCTGTCAGATCTGAGTACGTTGTGGGCCATTGCTGCTCGACAGTTGCACACACCCAAATTCATATGCGTGTAATTTGAGAGCCGTGCATAAACAAGACGTCATTTGATCGTTTTCAGAATCAGATAATCTGGGCAGCACTGACTCAGAGGTGAAGAAGATATTAACCCTCCATCTGCCTATTTCAGAGTACGACACCCTGGGCAGCGATTCGGAGGGCGACGGGCGCGCGACCAGCCAAGAATTGATGTCGTTCTCGCATCGAATGCGAGGTAGGTAAGCAGATTCATCAATTTCAGGAGCTAAACATGCGTCCGTCATTGTATCGTTTACAGGTGGGGCGGAAGGATCGAGTTCCTCGTCTGAGACGTCCCCACAAACTGGTAGCATCAATCGCAAGGCTTATCCAACACGGAAGAGCAAGTCCAAGGCGATCCCGATGAATAAACGTCATGTACGCAGCAGCAGCGGCTACTCCAGCCACAATGACGAAACAACTTTTAGTATATCGCACAGCTTCAACGACCGCATACATCCGCCGAGCCGCTTCTCGGACATGAGCGATCCAGAATGCGAAAAGGCTCACAAGCACCGCGGCATGTCCCGGCTGACGCGCGAAGCATTCCAAATCAACGTTTAATTTAAATTGAAAAACCGTAATAATGTGTAAGTATTATTTCGTGGGCCTAAACAAAGAGGGGGATGAATCGATATGCGAACACACGTGTGACACTAGGAATGAATGGCAGGTGCCTTGGAGGGAATTGTTTTGCACCGTTTATCGGCGCAAAACTCTTTCCTACATATAAATGGTTATTAATCTTCCACACACACACAATGGAATGTGCCAAATTCGAGCTTGATAATAAGATGATGTGTATAGAGGCAGTGTAACTGTATGTTATAGATTTTATAGATTGTTACCAATAATGTTATTGCGAACATATGTGGGTCTCACGTTATAGCGTTACGGTGTTATTGTTGTTTTTATCATTGTGACATAATATGTGTGTATATTTGATAAAAACTACAAGGACGCATCACACGAAAACAATTTTAACTAACTGTCATTAATTAATTCATCTTTCCTGTATAACATTCAAGCAACATCGTTTTTGGATATACCTTTTTATTGTACGAATACGAGAATAAGAATGGACAATGTAAACTAATACCAATAAATAAATTGTGGCCAACACACAAATTTTCTCGTTTTTTGATTCCGCTCTCAATCTTTAGTATCTTTTTAAATCTTTGTCATGTCATCTATCATATGTAAAATATCTATATTTACAGAAAGTGCTCAGATACAGTTGATATCAAACATCCTTAGTATGGATACGACACTTCTAGTATCATAAGCGTTTTGTTTTTCAACATAACTGTGCTACTTGCAGGTTGTTGACCTTCGAAATTTAAAATTAAACTGCAGGCATAATATACGATAACACGCATAATCAAAATCAATGAAGAGTCGAGTACATACTTGACACCCTTGGTAAGAGCTCGAAACGCATTCGTTTAGATATCCTATGAATATAAATACTTAACTGAACAGGACAGTACAATAATTCGTTCAAGTCTAGAAGTAAATGAAGACGATGCATAAGCTTTTAATATTTGCATTATTAGTCGTGGGTAGAGTGACTTGCTTAGATAATGGTCTAGCTCTGACACCTCCAATGGGATGGATGAACTGGCAAAGATATCGTTGTGAAACTGATTGTGTTAAGTATCCAGATGAATGTGTTAGGTAAGTGTATACGAATCTGGTTGCACTCTTTAAATGATTCATTTGGTTCTCTCGCAGCGAGAAACTTTTTATGACTATGGCTGACAGAATGGCTGCCGATGGTTATTTAGAAGCCGGATATAATTATATTATTGTTGATGACTGCTGGAGTGCAATGGAACGTGATGAAGAAGATCGTTTAGTGGGTGATCCAATTCGTTTTCCCAGCGGAATGAAGGCATTAGCAGATTATGTAAGGAATCTCAACGGAAAGAAGATTTAATTTTGTTTTAAAGTGTTTCATAATTCCCTAAATGAAATGTGAATTAAATAAATTACAGACACCTATAGGTTTACTCTTTCAGGTGCACAATTTAGGCATTAAATTTGGTCTATATGGAGACTATGGAACATATACATGTGCTGGTTACCCTGGCAGCCTAAATCATTTGGAATTAGACGCACAAACATACGCATCTTGGGGAGTAGATTATGTGAAACTTGATGGATGTTATTCGGATTCGGACACAATGGAAGCCGGATATGCTGAATATGGTAGATATTTAAACGCCACCGGTCGACCAATTGTTTTCTCGTGTAGTTGGCCAGCATATCAAGAAACCGCCGGAGAACACGTAACATATTCAGTTATAATAATATATGAATTATTATTATTGTAAAATAATATTTCAGTCCAATTATGAAGCCTTAAAGAAAACTTGTAACTTATGGAGAAATTATGGTGATATTCAAGATTCTTGGTCTGTTGTTCATGCCATCACCGCGTGGTTTGTACAACATCAAGACCGTTTAGCTCCGCACTCAGCCCCAGGGCATTGGAACGATCCTGATATGTTAATTATTGGCAATTTTGGTCTAAGTCTGGAACAAAGCAGGGCCCAAATGACAATATGGTGTCTAATGGCAGCGCCATTAATTATGTCCGTTGATTTGGTCAATATTACACCGGCAATGAAAGATATTCTCTTAAACAAGGAAGCGGTGGCAATTAACCAGGACGCGTTAGGAATTCAAGGCGAAGTGATCATATATACGAATAGTATTCAAGTATGGCGTAAACCAATTATGTTCCAAGGTAGTGATAAAGAAACATCATACGCCCTTGGTTTTATTAGTTATCGCGATGATGGGGTTAAATATGCAATGGAGTACACCCTGGAAGAGCTAGGTTTAAATAATCCTAATGGATATGACATACTGGTACAAAAGTTTAAATGTTAAATTTGATATAAATTATTGCAATTTAAAATTTGTTTTAGGATGTTTTTACTGGTATGGAATGGACTGCTACAAGTAAAATCAAAGTGCGAGTTCCTCCGAGTGGTATGTATTTAAGCTTTGCTTGTTTTTAAATAAACTATAAACAATACCATTTTCTAGGTGCTGTTTTCTTGAAAGCAACTGTGAGATGAACAATACAATGAGGTGCTATTAATCTGTTACTTTAAAAGTTCTTTTAATACATTGTTACTATTTTTTTATCGTATACGCAAAATAAATAAAAACTAATCAAACCAGTTTTGCCATATAAGTCAAATCGTCTACAACTTTCCATAGTATCGTCTAAGGTGTTCCTATGTATCTATGAAGTTGTCGTCTCAAAGATTTTATTGCAACTGATGTAAAACTGAATTTTATGTTTTGATATATTAGAAGTTAGTTGTCTGTTCCATATCTTCAGATGCAACAGTTTAGAATCAGGCCGTTCGAAGTTTTGTTTTGCCCTTTAAAAATTAGCATTTTCCCAATAAAATTGAAAACATAGTGTAAAAAACGTCCTGTATCACTTGAATAAATTGATTTTCCTGGAGTTTTTCAGAGTCGTATTAATGTTCAACAGACCCTCTTCACGATGCATTTTATTTCAGCAATCTCGGCCCTTTTGAAGTGCCCTGAAATGCCTTTCAAAAGTTGGCAATTTTATGAAAATTTGTAAACCTGGTATGGAAATCGCCCTGTTCCGGGTGAACTAACTGATTTGTTTAAAGTTTCTCAACGTCATATTAAATTTCGATAGTCCCTCTACACTACTTATACCTTTTTAACTTTATTAATGTTTTGTACAGTAAATTTTATTTTTGGATGAATAACAGATTCGAACTTTTTTGTTAAAATATTTTCGGTCAAAGAACAAAGTCAAACTTATTTTTCTAAAAAAATTTGTTTGATTAACAGGGTCGGACTTTTATGTTAAAATATTTTTGTTCGAGGAACAAGGTCAAACTTACTTTCTTAAAATATTTTCGGCCGAACAACAGGGTCGTCCCTTTTTGTTAATTTTTTATTGGTCGAAGAATAGGGTCAAACTTGCTTTCTTAAAATAATTTCGGTTGAACAACAGGATCGGACTTTTATCTTTAATTTTTCCCGGGAATCTTTAAGTTCTGTTTTCGGATTCGGATAGATAAGTTAATTCTATACCGATTATTTTAGTAACTTTTTTTTGCTAGCATTTACCGTTTAGGCTCTATTTGCAATTTTAATAAAAAAATTATGTAATTTGTATAGCGACAAAATCAGACTTTGTTAGGGTTATTATTATCAAAAAGGATTATTTTAGAACAAAATTTTATTAAGACAAAGTATGTAGAATCACATGTTCTTCTATATTTGGTAATAAAAAGTTGTAATTTTTATATTTTGTTTTTCGCACTTACCTTAAAAATCATTAGAGATAAAGAAAAACGGGTTTCATATTCGTATGTAGAATTAAATTTTACATTATTTATTTATTTATTTATTTGTTTATTTAACGCCGCTCGGCAATTATACATAATAATTTACATAAAAAAAAAGATATAAAATATGATAATTTTACAACATAATGAGATCGTGTCTAAACAAAACAACCAAAATGTCAGATAATCATACCAGCACTAACTTTCGCGCAGCACACTTCACAGCATTGTTCGATACACTATACAGCTCCATCATCGCCGCATATTCATTGATTGTAGACGAAATCCTATACAGTGGCGCTCGTGTAGAGAAGCCAGACTTGGCCCTTGGTATGGAAAGTACCCTTGGTACTCTCAAACTGGTGTTTGGCACGACGAAATCCAGTAACTCTATTAGGTCAGGAACATCCAGAAGGCCATTGATAAGATTTGCACCGAAGCATAGGGTCAAGTATTTTCTCCTACTGGCCAGCAGGTTGCAGCCTGTATATTCGTACCCTTGTTGACGATTCATAATTATATTTCTACAACTATTCCGGTATCTCATGTGCCTGATGAATTTTTGTTGTACCTTCTCAAGTTTTTCCATTTGATGGTTGTGAATCGGATCCCATACTACACACCTATACTCCATAATCGGTCTCACAAGTATATTGTACACAAGTACATATTATACAACATGTTAAAATTTACAGTTATTAACACTTTTGTATTAATTAAAAAGGGCAGTAACTTAAAAACTAATTAAGATAGCGCCACCAAACCTGGATTAATGGATTTCTGGCATTGTTTTTCATAAGTTTGGAAAGTTTGGGGAACATTGGAGAGGTAGTTTTATTTGATCAGTTTTGAATTTACCACCGATTTTTCGAAATATTGATGTTATCGGAAAACTGACTTCATACCTTTCATCCCCTTGTACAACTCAATCAATTAACGTTATCGATTTTCTTCTAGCGTAAAAAAATATTTTTGAGCCCAAAAAGAGTGAAGTGTAACCTCTTGATCTTTTTGAGAGGTCTTTGGTCAACTTTGGAAAATCGAAAAACTAAATCTGCTATTTTATAGATCCATATCACGGCATGAACAAAATGAAGAAAGTTTTTTTCTAACTTTTTACATTCTAAGAAAATTGTGGTGGAACATTTTTTAGGCATATGTTATATTTGAAAGTTTTTAAACGTTATCTTTCCTAAAATTTCATACTAAGCATTATAGTGTTTTCGGTTTTTGTTTATCACATCTAGTTCTAAAATAAACGTTTTACTTATTGACATCTACAGAAAAAATCCTTAGAGTTATGAAGTGAAAATTTATTTAAATTGGATAACTATGAGCACCTCTTCACAATGGAACAGTTTGTATTTATTATTATACTACAAATAATTATACTAGTCAGCCGAATATCATGCGCATCCACCATTTTTGTCATAATTCATAACTATTTTCAAAAAAAAAACTTACTGTTTATCACTAATTATCAAACAGGACAATTTAATAGGTGCAAATATTTTAATACATAATTTTAATTCAGTCCTCAAGTTATGTGATCTTTACAAGGCAATAAGGCCTAAACCTAGAATGCTAGGAGAAAATATTACAAAGATTAATTACTCAAATTTAAGAATACTTGGGTTGTGGTAATAATATTGTGCAACATTTTTAAGTTATAAATGGATTTTAACTGAGAGAGTTTTAATCTATTTGCACTGAGTTTTGTAGTTGTCTAGGCAAGTATTTTAGAGTAAAAGCCCGTGACGGCCAGACTTTTGTCATTTTAGGAAAGATGGAAATGTTTCTATGTGTGTACCCAACACCGCAAAGAACAATCCCCAATTATGAAACCTGGATCGTGGTTCCTTTGGCAGTTAAGAGCCAAAGATGTACCAATTATGATGTCAAATTCGTTATTTTCGCAAACTCCATTTTTGCATATTTTATTCATAACATTATTATAACATGCGCTGCTCATTGCCTGCCACTTGGTATGGTTCCAACCCCAGCGAGTGCGTTTTTAAGATAAAAACGCGCGAAGATTTTTAGTCGAAAAGGACCACTTAGTGACATCTCGAAATAACCTTAAAAGTATCATTTGAATTCAACTTTTTGTTTATTGAATCGTTCATGGTTGTGATGTGGGAGTGAATGTACTAAATGACAAAAACTATAAAAATTATGTTATGCTGTTTATAGATGAATGAACTAATTTACTTAATTTGAGATTTTTATTGCCATAATATTATAGTTTAAGAGATTCTCGACACTATCCTTATTTTTCAATCGTCCTAAACCCTTAGAAAGTGCCCTAAAATGTACTATTATTAATCAAAAAAATTAACGTTCTTGCTGTTTCTCCGACCCCAATTGTCCATCAAGAGACTCTCTCTAATATGCGTATTCATAAAACCCTCACCACCGTTTGCTAGTGCCCTAAAATATCATTCTAAAAGTAGCATTTCTCAAAAAAATGATTCGAATGTCTTTGATTTAAAATGTATTTCAGAATTTGAAATTACTTATTTGTATGGGATAGCGTTAGACTGAAGATCTATAGGTCACTGGTTCAATCCCTAGCTCGGGCACGTTGTTTTTGACAGAGATTTATCGTAATACTGGAAAATTCCGTTTTTATTGTGGTCTGCAAAATAACACCCAATATCACCCGAACTATATGACTTTTTTATAATTTGCTCCAATGTTCCAGAGTATTTTTTAGAAAGTGGCATTTTTCATAAAGTTTATAAGAATGGGGTAGAAAATACCCTGTATTTCGTGAACGAATTGACATTTTAAAAATTTGTTGCCGCCATAGTAAAGCTCGAGAGTTTCTCTATACAATACAAACTTTGTACATTTTCTAGCCTTTTTAGAAGTGCACCAAAATTCTCTTTAAAGTTTGACATTTTTCAATAAAATTAAGATCATGGCGCGCAAAACACCCTGTATAATTGACTTTCTTAAATTTTGTCACCGCTATTTTAAAGTTCAAAAGTCTCCCTACACCGTACATATCTGTTCAATATTCTATCGTATCTGAAAGTGTCCTAAAATGCCCGTAGAAAATTGGCAATTTTCAAGAAAATTGCAGATATGGTGTGTAAAACACTTTGTATTTTATGAACTAATTGACATTTTTAAAGTTTGCCACGGCAGATTTAAAGCTCAAAAGTTTCCCTATACAATACAATCCTTTTCGATCTTCTAATAGTTCCGGAAGTGCCCTAAAATGCCTCTTATAAATTGGCATTTTTACAAAATATTGAAAACATGGTGTGGAAAACACCCGGTACCTCGCGACCTAATCTACTTTTTTAAAGTTTGACACCGTTATTTTGAAGTTCGAAAGTATCTCTACCCGATGCATATTATTACAATCTTTCAGCCCTTCTGGAAGTGCCCTAAAATGCCATTCAAAAATTGGCATTTTTCAAAAAAATTGAAAACATGCTGTTTAAAACACCTCGTATCTTGGGAACTATTTGACTTTTTTGAAGTTTTTAACAGCCATCTTAAAGTTCGAAAGTTTCTCTACGCGATCCATATCTTTACCACCCCCTAACCCTTTCAGAAGTGCCCTAAAAAGCACTCTGAAAATAGACATTTTGTCACAAAAATTTAATTTTTTGGTCAAATAACAGGGTCGAACTTTTTTGTTAAAATTTTTTTCGGTCGAAAAACAGGGTCGAATATAAAAAAAAAATTTAGGTCGAAAAACAGGGTCAAATTTTTTTTTTAATTTTCTTTGCTCACAGAATAAAATCGAATTTTTTTGATCGAATAACAGGGTTGAACTTTTTTCTTAATTTCTTTTTTGGCTTAAACAACAGAGTCGAACTTTTTTCTTAAAATTTTCGCGTCGAAACATTAAATTAAAAAGTTGGAATTTTGAATTCCTAAACGATATAACAGTAATTTTTTAATTTAATAAAAGTTATTAATTATGAAAAAAATGGCGGAGGCGCCTGACATTTAAAAAAGTTGTTAATTAAATATTGAGAACTACCTCATTGCGTGGGCTCGTAATGATAGAATTTAAACTATTTTTCTCCTAATACCAGTAAGGAATTTTCTAGTAAATCTCATTTAGTAAAATGAGAACTCCCATCGAGAATAAGAATCAATTATCTCAGGATCTAATAGAGATAAACAAAAACCAAAAACGCCCCGATGTTCAGCATCAAATCCTAGATAGGATATCATTTAAAAATTTTGAAATATAACATGTGCTTAAAAAAACTTCCGCCGCGATTTTCTCGGAAAATAATAAAGATAGAAAAAAAATTTCTTCATTTTGTTCATGCCATGATATGGATCTATAAAATGGCAGATTTAGTTTTTCCATTTTCCAAAATTGACCAAAGACCTCTCAAAAAGATCAAGAGGTTACACTTGACTCTTTTTGGACTCAAAAAAATTTTTTCAAACTAGAAGAAAATGGAAAACGCTAATCGATTGAGTTTTTCAAGGAGATGAAAGATATCAAGTCCGTTTTCCGATAACACCATTATTTCGGAAAATAAATGGTAAATTCTAAACTAATCAAACACAACCACTTCTCCGATTTTCCCAAAATATTTCCAATTGGAGTAAGACATTGCCTGGATTCCATTAATCCAGGTTTGGTTGCTTTATCTTAATTAGTTAACAAGTTATTAACCATTTTTAATTATTACATATGTGTTGATAAGTGAAAATTTTAACGTGTAATATAATATGAAATTTAATTCTACATACGAATATGAAAACCGTTTTTCGCTACCTCTAATCGTTTTCATGATAAGGATTAAAAACTGGTATTTAATTTGTATATATTTAATGATCGTAACTATCAAAACGCTTTAATAACTTTAAAACAAAATTTTATTAAGATAAAGTGTGATTCTACACGTGTTCTTCAATATTGAGTAATAAAGAAGTCAAATTTCCAATTTTTATTTTTTGCGTGGGAAATGATGAAGAAAACGTATAAACCAGTTTATTGCCTTTATCTTGAAAACCATTAGAGATAACGAAAAACGGTTTTCATATTCGCATGTAGAATTAAATTTCAAATTATATTACATGTTAAAATTTTCACTTATCAACACTTATGTACTAATTAAAAATGGTTAATAACTTGACAACTAATTATGATAGGGCAACCAAACCTGGATTAATGGAATCCTGACAATGTCTTAATTCAATTGGAAATATTTAGGGAGAATCGAAGAAGTGGTTGTGCTTGATTAGTTCAGAATTTACCATTTATTTTTCGAAATAATGGTGTTATCGGAAAACGGACTTAATATCTTTCATCCCCTTGAAAAACTCTATCGATTAGCGTTTTCCATTTTCTTCTAGCTTAAAAAAAATTTTTTGAGTCCAAAAAGAGTCAAGTGTAACCTCTTGATCTTTTTGAGTGCTCTTGGGTCAACTTTGGAAAATGGAAAAACTAAATCTGCTATTTTATGGATCCATATCACGGTATGAACAAAATGAAGAAAATTCTTTTCTATCTTTATTATTTTCCGAGAAAATCGCGGCAGAAATTTTTTTAAGCATATATTATATTTCAAATTTTTTAAATGTAATCTTATCTAGGATTTGATGCTGAACATCGGGATGTTTTTGGTTTTTGTTTATCTCTATTAGTTCCTGAGATAATTGATTCTTATTCTCGATGGGAGTGCACATTTTACTAAATGAGATTTACTGGAAAATTCCTTACTGGTATTAGGAGAAAAATAGTTTAAATTCTATCATTACGAGCCCACGCAATGAGGTAGTTCTCAAAATTTAATTAACAACTTTTTTAAATGTCAGGCGCCTCCGCCATTTTTTCACAATTAATAACTTTTATTAAAAAAATTAAATTAAAAAATTACTGTTATATTGTTTAGGAATTCAAAATTCCAACTTTTTAATTTAATGTTTCGACGCAAAAATTTTAAGAAAAAAGTTCGACTCTGTTGTTCAAGCCAAAAAAGAAATTAAGAAAAAAGTTCAACCCTGTTATTCGATCAAAAAAATTTGATTTTATTCTGTGAGCAAAAAATTTTTTTTTAAAATTCGACTCTGTTTTTCGACCGAAAAAAATTTTAACAAAAAAGTCCGACCCTGTTATTCGACCAAAAAATGAAATTTTTGGTACAAAAATGTCTATTTTCAAAGTGCTTTTTATCGCACTTCTGGAAGGGTTAGGGGGTGGAAAAAATATGGATCGCGCAGAGAGACTTTTGAACTTTAAGATGGCTGTACAAAAATTCAAAAAAGTCAAATAGTTCTCAAGGTACGGGGTGTTTTAAACACCATATTTTCATTTTTTTTTAAATGCCACTTTTTGAATGGCATTTTAGGGCACTTCCAGAAGGGCTGGAAGATTAAAATAATATGCATCAGGTACGAAGACTTTTGAACTTTGAAATAGCGATGTCAGAGTTTAAAAAAGTCAATTATTTCGCGAGATACAAGAGGTTGTCCACACCATGTTTTAATCTTTTTTGTTTAATGCCAACTTATAAGGGGCATTTTACGGCACTTCCGGAAGGGTTAGAAGATCTAAAAGAAATGTATTGTATAGGGAAACTTATGAGTTTGAAATCTGCCGTAACAAACTATAAAAATGTCAATTAGTTCGCAAAATACAAGGTGTTTTACACACCATGTCTGCAATTTTTTTGAATATTGCCAATTTTCTAAGAGCATTTTAGGGCACTTGCAGAAGTGCTAGAAGATTGAATAGTTATGCACAGTAAAAGAAGACTTTCGAATTTTAAAATAGCGGTGACCAAATTTAAGAAAATCAATTATTTCGCGAGATACAGGGTGTTTTGCGCGCCTTGATATTCATTTTATTGCAAAATGTCAAACTTTAAAGGGAATTTTGGGGCACTTTTAAAAGGGCTTGAAGGTTTACAAAGTATCTATTATATAGAAAAACTCCCGAGCTTTACTATGGTGGCGACAAACTTTAAATATGTCAATTCGTTCACGAACTACAGGATGTTTTCTACCCCATACTTATATACTTTATGAAAAATGCTACTCCTAAAGAACACTTTGGAGCATTTTCAGAAGTGCTAGGGGGTTGCAAATGTATGTTTCGTGTAGGGAAACTCTCTAGCTCTATCATGGCGGTGAGAAACTATAAAAAAGTTATATAGTGCAAGAGTTACTGGGTGTTGTTTTGCAGACCACAATAAAAACAAAATTTTCCAGTATTACGATAAATCTCGGTCAAAAATCCACGTGCCCGAGCTAGGGATTGAACCAACTAAGTTGTCCTTTGGGACTTAAAACCTTTGCGCGTTTTTATCATAAAAACGCGCCGGCTGAGGTTGGAACCATACCAAGTGTCTGACAATGAGCAGCGCATGTTATAATAATGTTGTGAATGAAATATGCAAAAATGGTGATGCTAAAATAACGAATTTGACATGATAATTGGTACATCTTTGTTGGCCTGCCAAAGGAACCACGATCCAGGTTTCAGAATTAGAGATCGTTCTTTGCTGTGTTGGGTACACACATAGAAACATTTTCATATTTCCTAAAATGACAAAAGTCTGGCCGACACGGGCTCTTAGACCATTTATCCTGCATCGGAATATAAATGACATTTTGCTGTCTCAGTGTGCCTGTTCATCGAAATTAGTAAAGTGTGTCGTGCCTGTTGCAAACAAGGAAGCAAGCAATCAACCTAACATACACGTATAGCTAATATAAAGCGTGTAAAAAGATCCGAAAAGAGATGCTTGCTTGAAAATAGTTCATGTTTATACATATAGCGACATCTAGTTGGCGCAGGAGGCACTATACTTCATTATACAACTTGCAAATTTAAGGCGAAGTGATTATTTCAAAAATACTGTATATACTAAATTCTTTAAAAACAAGGTGATGTAATCAAATTGTAAAATGTTAAATTGGTCTAATAGAAAACTGTATTTAGTGAAGCAATATATGTATTGATTTGTATGTATCCCTCTATGAATCTAAAGTCCAACTATCAACATTTGATTTTGTGTTCACAGTTCGAACATACTTTGTTATTAAATATTAAACTTAGGTAGTAACTAATCTACTATTGTAGATAAATCTATTTGTGTCGAGTATTCACTTAAATCACACTTAAAAATGTCTGATAATTATCTTAAGTGCTTGTTGTATCTAGTATAAATATAAAGTTTGCTTTTCTGCTTATCCACTTTTCATTTTATTGCATCTATCATAAAGTAATAATCATAATGTTTAAATTATTTGTTCTTGCAGTAGTAGCTTTTGGTGGAGTTACTGGCTTGGACAACGGATTGGCGCGAACTCCACCGATGGGATGGATGAATTGGCAGCGATACCGATGCGAAACAGACTGTGATAAATATCCTGATGAATGTGTGAGGTACGAATATATATTGCATAATTTTTACTTCTTTACAATATGTTTTTGTTTTCCAGCGAAAAACTGTTTAAAACTATGGCCGATAAAATGGTTTCCGATGGTTACTTGAAAGCTGGGTACGAGTATATAATCGTGGATGATTGCTGGAGTGCAATGGAGCGAGACGAAGAAGATCGGTTAGTTGCTGATCCGATTCGTTTCCCAAGTGGGATGAAAGCACTGGCCGATTATGTATTTTAATTAATTCGTTCATTTTAAAACAAAAGCTTATAATATATTATAATTTAGGTTCATAATTTGGGTTTGAAATTTGGTTTGTACGGTGATTTTGGCACACATACCTGTGCAGGATATCCAGGAAGCATCAACCATCTGGAATTGGATGCTCAAACTTACGCATCGTGGGGTGTGGATTACGTAAAACTGGATGGCTGTTATGCAGATTCTGATATTATGGAAGAGGGTTATGCTGAATATGGAAAATACTTGAATGCAACCGGCCGTCCCATGGTATTTTCATGCAGTTGGCCAGCTTATCAAGAACCACTAGGCGAAGAGGTAAAGTTGTGTAAGACATAAAATGATTTTTTTTAATTGCTTATATTTCTTTAGTCTAACTACGAGGCTCTGAAAAAGACTTGTAACTTATGGCGAAACTATGACGATATTATGGATTCCTGGCAAAGCGTCAACTCCATCACATCCTGGTTCGTTGATAATCAAGACCGACTTGCTCCGCATTCGGGGCCAGGACACTGGAATGATCCGGACATGGTAATTGAATACCTTCAAATAACCTCATAATCAATTTACTAACCGTTTGTGTACCACGCTGTTATATAGTTAATTATTGGCGATTTTGGGCTTAGCTACGAACAAAGTAAAGCCCAAATGACAATTTGGTGCCTAATGGCAGCACCGTTAATTATGTCCAATGATTTAGTCAATATTCAACCCGAATTCAGAGACATCCTCTTGAATAAGAAAGCTTTGAAAATCAATCAGGATGAGCTGGGTATTCAGGGGACCATGAAAGTTTTCAAGAACAATATTGCGGCTTGGGTTAAGCCAATTCTACCACTAAGTTCAACTGGAGAATATTCCTATGGTGTTGGATTTATCAGCTACCGAGATGATGGTATCAAATATCCAATCGATTTTACTTTTGAGGAACTGGGTTTGGACGGGAAATACGGCTACGATATTTTGGTAATATATCTTTAAACAGTAGTAAAACTTAACTTCATATATAAATAATTTTTAAGGATGTTTTCACTGGTGAGTGGGTGGATGATGGTACCGACATAATTTCCGTTCGTGTTCCACCATCTGGTAAAAATATTTAATTTATTTTATTCAATAATTTATTTTAACAAAATATTGATTTCAGGGGCCGTCTTCCTGAAAGCAATCGTAATCTGATAAGCAATACGAAAAGCACAGTGCCTATATTTTATTATTAAGTGTCTAAAATTAAAATTTTGCTAAAACAAAGCGTAATCTTTAAAAAGCATTAGCGATTTAATTGATCATGGTAAAGTTTCGTGAACAACAAAGCTTTCTTTGTACCGTCATTCCATTTAAAGCTTTTAATGCGAATCCTTTTAAATCCAATATGTTTTATAGAAAGGAATTCACTTGCATTCAATTTGCATGAAGTGAACTTCAGATGATTTTAATACATTGTGATGAAATGAATCAAATATTTGACTTGGTCAAGCTATCAAGCCACCATATAACTATTTTATCCTAAGCAAATAAATTGCTAGATGAATATAATGCTATTGCCAATGTAATAGTTGGCAGTCTTCGGTCCTAGTTACATAAGAACTTGCATCAAAGCAAAGGACAAGAAAAGAACGATTGAAAGTACTAGAGGCAACACACTGCGGCTTGCAGAGCGTGAAACTTGAAAGTTTAAATCCCTTAAACAAGTTCGACAAGTGGAATAAACGGCGGCGGTCTATTCGTACGTTGTATGGCAATAATGAGTGAATTATCAGCGATATTAGAGTGTCTAATTGCGAGCGCACAAAAAAAGGCACACTGCCTCGATTCGCCGGCTTCCTTCCTACGCCCGCGCGTCACCATTCCGAGCCATTTCCCCCCACAATCGCTTCTCCTCGCCACGCCGAATGAACCGATTACGAGTGCTTCATTCTCGCCGCCACCCGCCAACCGTTCCATTCTTCCTGCACGCAAAGACGCGAAATCGCCGGCTACAAAGAATCCATTTTAAAATTATAAAAGAAATTGGCAATTTGTATCAATTCGACACAAAACCCTCACATCCTGCGATTCAACTATCCGCGCTCAACCGTCTCCCCCATTCACCACCTCATCATCTAGCACTTTCGATCTTAAGTATGGAAGCTTCCAGCATGCAAGCTTACTCGATACTTTTGAAATTTCCATTTACCATCAGTGTGTGATTCTGACAAGTTACGTTGTAGCGTGCGCACGGAAACAATAATAAATGCGTCAAATGATGTAAACGTAATTAAATCGACTAATCAACGGCGCAGCGCACACGGGGGACCTGCGCTCCTACGCCAGACCTATCACGAGCACGCTAGTTAGAGGTTTTGTGCCGGTTAATCAATCTCCAGTTTTTGGTTAGTTAAGAGCTCATAAAGGAGCTCGCGTGGATGCAGACGTCAGGTTTATAGCATGATAATAAGTAATGAGCGGGTTATTAGCGGGCGCAGATGTCGTTGACGGCACCCGCGGTGCAGTGCGGTTCTCTTCATATTCCCCTTCCGTTTCTCTCCGCAATTATTATTCATTCAACGCATAATGACAATTACTGTCCACGAAACACAAATTTTTACTTTAGAGATATTTTGAAAACATCAAAAGTCTAATTTTTTACCCCGACAAATCTTACCAAATCTCGCCGACATTTAATTTGCCGGCTTTGCGTACATTGTGTTTGCTTAGAGGGTTCGACACCTCAACACATTCAGTTTTGTACGCGATGAATAGAATCTCGGGTGAAAGCACATCGCAGCCTGGCCACTTTATGCTAGTCAGCAATTTTCGCATTCAATCGAACACGATTTACACTAGGGAGATATAAATACACCCTTGACTGATATTAAATTTGAATTACTCACTTTAATACGAACGCGGCAAGCTTTCATTGCGCGAAACGCTATGGAGGTGATGCACACACGCACGCGAGGGCCAAAAGATCCACGAGTGCAGTGCATACAATGCGAGCAACCTATTACGAACGCGACGAGTTCATATTCCATTTTAATATGCGGCCAAATGTTGAAGAGGATCTAATCCCAAATTAATAACCGTCGATTTGTTTGGAATCAGTCACACACAGCAAGTGTGTCGCAAAGTTAAAGCACGCGCACCTTAACTATACGTGTATAATGAATAATATCCATCTCTTGTATTTTAAGCAAGTAGAGATATCAAAGTAGCAAAAACATGAATATTTTTACGAATGAATGATAGCGATTGATTTCGAAATTAATATCGAAATCAGTTTAATATCGCAATTGGAGTTTCCGAGCGCATCCGTTCGAAGCGCCGACATATATGAGTTCCGACTGATAATTCACAATTACGCGCGTGCTCGCGCTGACACCTGTATGCAGTGTAATTGTTTGGAATTGCTGCAATGCCGTCGCCATGGTGGCGTCTAACCGGGCTCGCGCAAACAATAGCAACTTTCAACAATACGGCGCGCGCGCTTTTCGCTGGCAGGCGCATAGCGACGCGTGAGAGATCAAAGTCAAGCGCGATGTCAATTCAATATAATACAATTATTATTAATTTCGACGAAAATTATTAAATCAGACTGAATGCGACGCCGAGACATTCACCCGCTTGTGGGAGATAATTGCATTCCAATACAGAATACAAAATACTACGCACAACAAAGGTGTTACTAAATTGACGAGTTGATATTGTATTACAACATTTTAATGAAAACGTTAAATATTTACTATCTATTAAATTTTAAAACCAAAAACTTAAACTTAAGTTGTATACAATTATAGAATTCAATTTATTACCATAAATCTACTTTGGCAGCTTTATCGACATTTTTGTAGATTTTGAACGTTCTACATGCCAATATTTGTAAATAAACCCAAATTAGTTTGAAATTTTTATCGTGATGCTGCGTTTTGTGTGAATTTATCATTCGCTACTTTGTCCCGGAAATGTTTAATAAAAATGTAATTCGTTTTTACTCTCTTGTTCTAGACATAGTAGGTATGTGTCAATTCTATCAATAAGAATTGCAATTTTATATTAAAGAAATTAATTATATAAAGAATTGCTAATAATGCACTTCAGAGCGCCATCTCGGATTCAACTATTTAACTATAACTATGATTGAATATCAATGCCAACTTTTATCATATAGAAAAGAGCTGTCTTTAGGGTTTTCCCGGCAATTATTCAAATTTTTCTCGCCTTAAAAAACATCCTTGAACTTTAACAAACATTTAAAAAAAGAATTGGCCAAATTGGTCTAGGAGTTGTTTAGTTATGCGCTTACCAACAGATTTTGCGATTCATTTTTATATTATAGATTATAGCTACAAAACTACGAATTATAAATTAATTAATATAAGTACATTTACAATTTTATGTAATAGGTTGTAAGTAGAGTGTAGATAAGCACGTGATAAAGTACAAAATTAAAAACTATATCATTTCAAGTAGTTTAATAACTTAGAACAATATAATGTATTCCTAAAAGTTGAATAAATTGAAAATTGGCAGTAAGCAGTATCATTATTCGTAAAACATAAAAATCAATTAATAATTAAAATTATTTCTTTGTCTCATTATATCTCAATTGATTTTAATATACATATACTCATATTTGCATTAATGCTTACAATACCACTCATTCCTAAATGTGTAGGTACTTATTCCAATTTAGCGCGGAAACTATTTCAATTTAGTAAGTTGGTCACAACAACTTTAATAGCGCTAAACGCCAAATTTGATTGTTTTTTGCGCCTTATTTCATAAAGTGTTATTAAGAAAGTGTTAAAGCTATAAAAGTTTTCGATTGTAAAAACGTTTTGCGCTTTACAATTACAGTTACAGCGCGCGCAATTGCGTTTAGTTGCCAAACGACAAGTTTTGAACTCGATTCCGAAATTAACTTTCTAAACTCATTACTTTTTAATTTTTACTAAACAGCAATAATCACGTGTATTAATTTAAAGTACCACACTGCTAAAAATATATCAATGCATGTCATTAAAGCAATAATTCAATTAACGTTTGTAAATGGTTTAATTTCTATGCGGAACACGTTTAGAATGCCACATAGTTTTCAAATTGATTTGTTGAAAATGTGAATTTATAACAAGCAAAGAATGGAGATTATACAAGCTATTAGGTTTTGAGTATAAAGTGAAATCAAAGAAACAGAAGTATTGTGTGGTCGATTTTGAGCTTTTGTCATTGTTCCGTTTACAATTCACAAAAACTATAATTCTCATAGATATAGGTACATGAATGAATGATATATTATAGGTGGGTAATACTTGTTAATACCTCGTGGTTTTTGCCATTCATACCTTCTTTCAAAGAGGTGATAAGTGCAGTTTCCATACAGTGAAAATAAATTTACTTCTGTTTTGAGTCGATAATTCCATATCCATTCCCGGAAAATACCTCAAATAGCTGAAAGACAGACGTCTAGATGGCTCCAAGAGAATTGCAAAGCATAATATGTTAATACTTCAATTGTCCAAGTATTACTGTTGTAAAATACAATTTAAATCATGAATAAAAGTCAACAAGTCAAAAATTACATGAATTGAAATAATACAGTAGCTGGTGATAGATTAGCCACATTCGTCAATGAAAATATAATCTTATTACCTGCGCGCCCGGAATTTTCAGAACACCCGCGTACCTCGCACCAAAACGGTAGCCACTGCCCATTGTGATGATACGTATAATTAGAGGGTATTAACTGCTACTGAATTGACTTTTTGAATACTGATAAGCCAGGTAAATATTGCAAAGGCTGATCAATGAACTGGCACTGGAGATGAGATCTAATTAAATTAAAGTCTCGCACAACAAAATGCCCAATTTCTTTGTTCAAAATGTTCGAAATTCGTAAAATTTGTGCTATAATTTAAGTCAATTGAATTTGTTTTCGCTTTGGACGACAAATTCTGCCCCTTGGTTTCTATATATTGAGCGTGGCATTGAGATGCAAAAACGGAATGCTTAAAACGTCATTATTCAAGATAACTCTGTTCTGCCGAGAGTCAAAGGTTTGCAATTTATTCGCTAAATAATTTAAGTCAATATAGCGTCGCTCGGCACGAAGAGGCGGACTATTCCGGTTGAAAAGTCGCGACTCGTTTGCTCGTGCTGCACGTAAAGTGGAACGCAATAATAGAAACCCCTGATAATTAATTCTTCATTAAGGCATCTCAACTCCGTCGATAAAACAAACACCTTGAGCTAAACTAAGAACCAACAAGACTTTATTACATTGATTTATCGTTAAAGCAACGTTTTTCTATTTTTTTCGCTTACAATCAGAGTATCACTGTCGGAAATTCTGATAGAGTTTATTAATATTTTCGTTTGTGAATGCGAATTCAATTGAAGGGGTCATTTCTTGTGGACGCACGCGTCTTGAGCAAACAGGGACACAACGCAGCAGTTTTGTCGCCCGAGAGATTAATCTCGATGGAATTATCCGAGAATTAAATATCGAAATGTTTTTCTGACGAAGTGTGTGCGCCTCGGGATTTAATTTCAGTCATGTTTGTCTTGTAAAAACCAATAACTGTGGTCTTCGTCGCAGTGGCTGCGGAGATATCTTTTATTCGCGCGCACGCAGTCAGGGCGAGGACAGGAGATGCCTCCGGCCGCCCGAGCTAACATACTATTCACACGGAATCTATTTTACTCTTTTTAGGTAATAAAGCGAAGTTAGTTTAGTTATTGCTACGATTTGGGCTGCGCTCAATTCACCGAGAGTCGATGCCAAAGATATAATCTTCGTTTTATTAAACTTCGTGTCGCTTTGATTGGAAATTTTTACTTTCCAAATACACACAAATAAAATCAGCAAAATAATTGAAAATTTTTTGGTTACATTTTTTATTGAGATTTTTTGATGTAACACACGTGACGCTTCCGGATTCGTCCGGAAATATAATTAATTTTTTTAAATAAAAATTGATTTATTTATTTTATTGATACGATAAGTTATGAATCACTTTTAGTTTTGATTTTAAGTTTTTCCTTATGTTTTCTGAATATAATTTTATGTAAATTAAAAACCATTGTCAATATGAAAGATAAAAAAATTTAATAAGTTTTTGAGTTTTCTGATATTTAGGTAGGTGCCTATATTGCTTTTTCTGCTAAATATATTGATATAATGACAACAAATCAAATAATAATATATTGATATAATTTCATACAACATAATAAATAAAGTGTCCTTAATTAAAATATTATCGCTCCGGCGTGTCTCGCAATAATCGCTAAAATTACACCTGTAAATTTTCCCATCGACCAACCAACACTATATATCTCTAGCAAATATTATAAATTATCATTTCCCCAGCATGCATGTAACACGATATTGTATTATTAGTAAATAATTTACATGCGTGTTTTATGATGCGCTTGTGCGTGTAATGCGCTCTTGTGTTTATTATTATTAATAAAGTTATGTTATTAATCTATTTCATTACGCGCACTCTCCTACACACCGGTGCGCGCATAATGAACACGCGCGCGTATTAATTTCTCGCGAGCGCGTTGATAGCACACACAATACACTCGAAATCCTACCTATTGCAATCGGCGCGCGAACACGGTGGGGGCATGCGCGGCAGTCGAATACACGCCTCCGATTGGCCGGACGCTAAGGGTGGGTTAGCGCGAGAAACGGTTTGTAAGTCCCCTGCAAGTGGTTGAAATAGTCGGCGAAAAGCAGGCTTCATTCAGAAATACGTCTACCCTCCTGGCAGACACATCGTACGCAAATAGCACACACGCACCAGCACATCACATCGCAGTTTGACGTTTTACAGTAAAAAAGTTTTAAACATTTGAGCATTCAGTGCGTATTTGTGAAAAGTGTTGAGACTAAGACAAGTTTGAGGTGTTGAACTTTTTCTGTGAGTTTAGTCAAAAAGTTTTGTTTGAAGATGTCACAAGCGCAAGTAACCACGGAAGAGATGCGCCCCCGAGGTGTCTACAGCATTGATCAAATTCTTGGAGTTGCCACCAGCACACCAGCCAGAAAAAATAGTGAAGGTAAGTTAAAAACAAACAGAAAAGTCATTTTTAGTAGATAGGTAGCTATTATTTGTTTGCATTTTCACATTTTGGGGGTGCACGACACACGCACACACTACTATGGGGTTGCATTCATGCTATGACTATTAATAATAAAGTTGTGGACAAGCATTTGGACACAATGTAATTAGGAATATAATTATTGAGTGGAGCGAGGGTGATTCAAGAGAGGGTGCGCATTGCGCCCCCTTCGACACACGTGCGTCATTAGAAAATAGCTCATAGATTTTATTTCGAATACCCACATTGATTTTTGCAAACAATTTTATTTGCTAATTAGTCCAATAATTGACCTCAAAAAGTTCCATTCAATTATTGTAGTATTTCCTTAAAACTACTATGACGTATAAACTTTAGAAATTTTATGAGTGGCATTAGCATACGAGCTTGTGAATAGCATTTTGTTGAAGAATTAATAATGGCCAAGGGCCAAGGGCCCAGATTAAGTCCTGCGCATCCGATTAAAATGCCCGTCTATAAAATCGCACGTAACATGATGCACACAGGTAACATAAGCACCCCTTAATAGACTCCGTATTATCATCGTCGATTAAAACTTGATTCTTTCTATTGCACCCCTTATTTGCGCAACCCTTATTAACATCCAGGCGATTAAAATATAACAAGCTGCTCGATGAGTCAGAACACTTAGTTATTTTTTTTTTCATGTTTGCTTCGATAAAATAGTAACGTAACGTCAAAAGCTTTTTAACAAAAGCTCTCAAAGCGCTCAACGTAATATCAGCATATACATAAGTTGCTTATTGCAATTTGTTATTCATAAGTTGGACGTGTTTATACATTTAAACGTTTTGAGGCGAGTCCGGCGTGTATGCGTATGAAAGCTCGTCGAAAGCTCTAAATGCACGAAATGCGGCCACACGTTAGTTTAGATCCATTTATGCAGATTTTGAATGGTTATCTCGACCCAACTTTGACATTTAATCGCGTTTTAATTGATATTACGCCACAACCCTCCATACAATAACCATCAACCTGTGTGTGGCGTATGTGTTGCCTATTGTAAAATTTTCGTTAAAATACGTAACGTGTTTTGCATTTAAATGAATTTTTTTACAGAATCGGACTCAAAAGTTGATTCTATCAGCGAAAGCGAGATGATGGAGAGTGATGATGTCCTAGACGGAATGGAATCACGGCCCAGGAAGATCCGTCGGTCGCGCACCACGTTTACCACCTACCAGTTGCATCAGTTGGAGCGGGCGTTCGAAAAAACGCAATACCCGGACGTGTTTACGCGTGAGGAATTGGCCATGCGGTTGGATCTCAGCGAGGCGAGAGTTCAGGTACTTAATTACTTTGATTACGCCCGTGCATTCTTGTGATAATTACGCACTTTTCATGTAATTATCAAATTACGTGCTTTTAACGTTCTGCGCTCACCCCACCAGAATGATACGCGCATTGTGTCTTCCGTCATTGGCTCATATCGAATTAGTCACGCTCGAGTAATAGTTTTAACATGAATTGCATCTTAATTGGTAACAATTTTGATAATTAATCCGGCCTGCGAGGGCGTAAGTAGCGCCCCGCAATTGGGCATTGTGAGTAACAATAGGGGTAATCGGAACCAGTTCCGGCACCCGGAGTCGCCGCCACCGCCACCGCTCTCTGATGTCTCTCGTTTAAAGTGCTCCGCTGCGCACACCCTCTATCCTTCTCAGTCGTGCCTTCTTGCACGTTGTCGACGCTATAAATGAATGGCTTCGTTAATAATTGCGGAGATTATAATTGGAAATCTATGTTGTGTGCTTGCAGGTCTGGTTCCAGAACCGTCGCGCCAAGTGGAGGAAACGCGAGAAGGCAATGGGACGCGATGCTGGTCCATTTATGCATCCCAGTGAGCAGTCCAGTATTCCGGAGTTTGCACTGCATGGTCATTTGGGTCTACCACCGCTGGGCGGCGAGCACTTCTGGCCCGGTCTGCCATTCCCACCTATGTTCAACCCGGCGTTGGGCCTTCCATGGAATAAACCACCGCATCTGAATGTGCCATCTTTCCATGCGTTATTATCACAATATATGTTGGTTGGAGGTGCACCGCCGGGCGCTGCAATTCTTCCACCGGTTGATGACCGATCAAGGAGTGCTAGTCCTGAAGAAGCTCCAACCACCTCGCCCAATATGTCTTCGTTAGAGGCATTGAGAATGCGTGCGCAAGATATGATACCCAAAACGTCACCACAACTTCACGCAAAGTCCTAAATTGAGCTAATTTATTAGAATTACTAAACCTAAAACTGTATATAAATAAGATAATTGTAGATCTCGATCGAATTACTTATCGCTACTCAAGATTCCAATATTATTTATAAAAGATGTGCAATGAGGAAGATCCGCATGTTGAACATTAAAAACTCGTTGATTGAGTGCTATTTAATGACAATTAGACATTGATGTGTAGGAAGTGTATATCGATAAATAACGAATTATGAATGTAAACAATAATAACGGATAATAATAATAAAATCATGTTAATAAATATATTAGTCAAGCTAATACCCATTACTGAGCATTTTATTACAGTTTTCATTCGGTGCACCCTATTTTACTCGCAGTGCAGGTGTTGCCATTGTTGACATTTTTCGGCTGTGTATGTTTATAAAGGTGCGCGTCGATTTAAATGCAATGGCCACAGTTGTAATCAACGTTCAAGCGTGCAAACGTGCTCGCAGTGCGTTTATAGTCGCTCGTTAAATACTCGTATAAATTGCATACCATCGTGCGAGCCGCATACTTTTATGGTAATTAAGTTATGACTTGAAGCTCAATTACGATTCGTTTTACAGGCGCATTAGCGAAACGTGTTAATTTACAATTAACTTATGCATATATCACGCGTATTCGGTTTTATTTTGTGGAAATATTTTATTTGAGGTTAGCTAATTGTATGCAGCGCCATCTAGCGGAAGAAGATAAAAACTAAATTTATTTCTGTTTTTCTCGTTTTGTAGTGGCCAACAGAGGGTGAACAGAAAGTGCAAGATGTTCGGCAACAGCGAGAATCAAATTCAATAATAGAATCCACAGCAACCTATAAACTAAAAAGCACGCACAGGTCTCAAGAGCAATTCAGAAACAATGGACCACTTAAATAAGGATCAAAATTTAAATTGAGCCTTTATTTGCGTACAGGATCAGTTTTTAGCCACTTAAGTTTTTAATATCCCCCAGCTTCGATGCTTCGAACCGAAGAAGCACTCCGTCACAGCGCTATATATGAGCAGCGATCGTTTAAGTATAATTAAAAGTAATTTAACAAAATTCCGCTCGAAACTTTCACAATACATATTATGGTGTAATCAATATAATATGCGATCATAAATTAAATACTTATTAATTACGCATGCAGTCTCATAATAATAATTCAAAAGTGTTGGGGTAAAATGATGAAATTATAATTTTCACTAAATATGTGCCCAGCCTTTTGATTCGTTTTGTATGTGTGTGTGTGTGTGTACGGTTTGCGTTTTAATTGCGGGTCGAAAATTGAGTTTCACACTATTCTCCTCGCACAAACAAAATGCGCACGTACGTAGTTGGAATAATTTTCGAACTGAACGCAGGGAGATTACCAATATCAGGCTTATTTGGCACAAAATCCCTCTTATAATATGTAGTCTTAAATACGCACAACGAAAAATTCGATCCAACGAGTGCGAGTTTCATTCAATCGGTTTATGAACGCACAATTTTTATATATAATACACAAATCCGGGATTTGTGTGCGTGTAGAGGTATAAAAAATAGATAAATTTTCATTTGGGGTGTGTGCGGATGAATTTATAAATGTAGATATTTCAATAATTCCTGCTATGTGGAACCTGGTCGTGCAAAAACCAGCATTCGGTTGATATCAGAACATTCTGTTCTCACGACTTGGATCGCCGGCTACCCGGAAATGATGCTTGCTCGTGCGGACCAGCGAACAGGCAACACCCGCCGAGAGTCTTTTCATTTCCAGTATCACCAACTAACACACACTTCAATTGATCAATTCTTTAATTGGTGATCAATTATTTTTCTTTAACTGCAGATTTTTATTCATTTGAATTGACTTTGGGAATAAATATTGGTAGATAACACTTTGTATGTTAAAGGCAAGAAAATTATAAATTTCAAAATACATCATACTGATTGTTAACTATTTTTTTGGAAAATTTGATAAAAACATTGTAAAATTGAAGTTATGCTTAAAAGTTATTTTTAATTCCGATTTTTAAAAATGAAAATCATTATAAATATAATTAAATAAAGATTTGCAATAAAGTGGTGTTTAATCGAATTCAAAAATCAATTATTAAAGATATTTAATATTTTATGGATCTGGCCTTTGTGGCGAAACAAGTCGCAATGTCATAAAAAGTGGTGAAATTCCAAAAAATTTGTTGTTTTATTTCAAATCAATAATAAAATTACGCTCCCATATCAAAACATCTAATAAACAATGTGCGTTAAATAATACTTATATGAACATATATTGTTCATGGTTATACTTGAATGGTAAACTATGGTCATTAATTTAATGATAGCTGTAAAAGATAAATTGTCGACTATTCGGTTAATCAAGTTTAATGGAAAGCAGAATTGTATAGGAAGTAAATATGGACATTGATGTTACATAGTTTCCAGAATTACACAAATATTAACGCTAATAACCCACCCGCGCTTCGCGAATCAACTCGTCCGTATTTATAACATCATCATCGTATTAGATTAATCCGTCGAACGTGCATTCGTGATTGCGCAAATTACAAGTTTAATAATTATTTGCCCGCGCGCCCGTTTACGTTGGAGTGCGTAAAGCCGGTTGGTCGTTCAGAAAATAATAACATCAAGGAGATTTGCAACGTTTAAGCCCACCGGGCTACTGCAAATGTTTGTAATTACCTTGTACAGAGTGTACACATAAATTATGTCTGAATTATTTTGAATTTTTTTGGAGAAATTTGATTTGTATTTTCGTCTTGAGTTCATTGAGTGAATAATATCTTCAAGTGGGATCTCGACAATAAAGGAATCGGAAAGTATAAAATTTGAGCGACGATTTCAATGGGGCGGTCTCTTTATAGTGGTCGGATAACTTACACCTATTCTCAAATTACCTGTTTAATAACACTAAAAACCATCTGAATGTGTCATTGTGGCGGCGCGGCACAAACCTCCACCTGGGCTGTATCAAAGTATCTTTTGCGCCCCATCAATAAGCATAAGCTGCACTTTGAATATGTTGTTTGGAAAACCGACACAAACCCAGCAAAAGTAAAGCCAAGTGTATGAACGTATTTTTCCTTCATTCGACGCTTTTTGATAACACAATGCTTGGTGTAACGAGATACACAGGCGCGTATGCGACACATAAAGGTATATCTGGTTTGGCCACGTAATAAAAACGATACGGCATCAACAAGATGCAATTTATTCCGAGCGATGGCGTGCAGTGCAAGTGAGCGGATCCGTATTCCTCTTAATGCCCACCACTTACAGCAAATCAACGCAAATGTGTTATTTGTCCGCGGCACTAAAACCGGTGGTACGAGGAACTCGTAAAAGCTAAAAGGCGAGACATTATTAAACGACGAATTTGTTTATAGATTTCAGATTGTTGCCCAGGGAACTCCACTGTGGTATTATTCACGTTTTATGACTTGTGCGCTGCGGATATATTGGAAACTTATTAAATTGTTTTGGAAATCGTGCCTTTTAGTCCCATGGACCTGGACGTTAGCACTTAATATACATACGGTTAAGCTCGGCGACTGGGTGAGGGTACACACATACACACGTACATACATACACCTGGTTTATGCGAACACGCAGCAGTCGGCTACCGTTTCTCCCCCGGAGACTACACTAAACGATCGCATTAACCACCCGGAGCAAGCCAATGAATTCGCTCAATCATGCGACCGCACTAATAGAACTTAATTTGGATGGGAAATCTACGAACCGACCAAAACGACTAAATCAACGGATTGAATGCGAATACTAGCCATGGCAAAAATATTGCACGCCAAGTTAAACATCACTGAGCAATAAACTCATGCAGATGTGTTCCCACAAAATCAAATTGAAGTTAATTTTGAAAAATTGGAATGATGATGTTACCAGCGGCACATTTCACAGAACTCGCTTAAAAGATGAACTTCTCAATCTTGAAAAATTCAATGTGCTCGACCTGAATGATATTTGAACAAAGCGATCCACTTATTTTCTAAGCTTGCGACAAGTAGTAGAGCTGCGTGGGGAGAGTGCACGCCGAATTCCGCACCTTTTGACAAGTCGGCAAGCCGACAGGGCGTTCAAGCGTGTGTCTCCTTAGGGGTAATGGACCGCACAGACACCGGCTTAGCCGCGGCGCGGATTAGAAAACATACTTAGAACAAACCCAATCGTCCAGGAATGGTGGCGATGTTGTCGGGGTGGTTAAAAAAGGTGACACTAGACACCAGGCATTATTGGTCTTGAAGTTTGAGGCTTTATGGTGGTGCGAATGTGTTAATGCAAATGCAACGATGCGTTTCAAACACACAACCAGCAAGCAATTTGTATAGAATATCAACGTTCGATGTAGAAGAGCATTTTAATGATGTCAACATTTCGATTCTACGTTCTACAAACAAGTTTCACAAAATTGCAAAGCTCTGCAATTTCTTCCAATTTTCTCAGATTAGCATTCACATTGCAATTGTACAATTTTTAACAAGTTTCTTTTATAAATATCCGCTTACAGGTCGTTACCGACAATAATGCTTGTTAATTTTTTTCCTGTTTTGTACTGCAGTCGGAATCTGGATGTAGAAGACGACATTGCAAGAGCCGCACGATGGATGATAAGTGAGTGTTGATCTTGTCCGACTGAAGTGAATCAGAAACCAATATCCGAGGGTCGGCCCGCGGGCATGGGGCGCCGATGTCGCCGAGCGCGCAGCTCCACCGCTCATATGGTAATCGCCTGCAGAAATCCCTCCACAATGGCATTAGGGCCGACTTATTACGTTTACATTGATCTCGAGGTTTATATTTTTCGTGCTCGTGTTTGTCTTTGTATTTGAATTTAGTTGGTTGCTCCGCTATTAGTTTGCTATCTATCTCGGGCACGTTCCCACTCCCGCTCGGCGACAAAGACAATCGAAACTGACTCGATTTGCGATGTCAACTCAATTCTACATGTCACATATCAAATATATACAGATAGATTCAACTCTTATATAGAAATTATGCAGAATTGCCCGAAATGTACACTACCCAAGCTTAAATTTCGCATATTGGTTGAACTAAACCTGGTGATTAACTACATTACGCAAACATTAAATCAACTAACGTCGGGCTTCATTAACAAACTAATGCCACTCGAGCTGCTCACTGCTCAACTCCCGAGCCAAAGGCCACTAATAACAGTTGCTAAATCTCGTCCCTGATTGTTGGTTGCCAAGTCTAGAAGCGCAGGTATTAGTGTTTAATTAAAAGCGTACCGTTCCGGCAATGAGCGTAAACACTAAAAAACCCAACCTAATAAAGTAACGATTAATGGCTTAATCGATCACTTAATTTCAATTCTATTGTATTGCAACAAGAGCCACACATAAATAAAATGTGTGCTATTTGATAGGGCTGAGTATAAAGTATTAGCAGTTTGTTAGCAGTGCTATTATGCCACAGGTAAATACGGGGAGCACGGCGTCGACAATGGAAACAATTTAATAAATAGTTTCTCATTTGCAAAAACACGTCGGGCGCATGTATCAGATTACACTAATGCCCTTTCGGTCGTATTCGCTTCTATACCGTGGGATACGACCCGCAGGACCAGTTCGTACAAAGAGCGCGCGCACGCTCACACACATCCAGACGCCCGATACTGTTGCACCCTAGAAAGCACTGGAGGGCAGGACTTCCTCTATTTACCCCCAGCGCACGAATTACATCATTATTATAGCCGATCGCGTACAGATCTTGTTATTGCCCTCCTAATGGATTTAATTGATACAATTCCAGCAGCACACACGCCGACAACTTTTTGTCACAGGACTTTGGATAATAACCGTCTTTGTGCAGGCATAAGGGTGAATGCGTTTGAAATATCTCAGTTCATTGATTGCCTTCAACTTTGAATGAAAGTTCAAAAAGCTAGATGAATTCATGTGCCTGTAATATGAAGATCGGTATTTGACCCGCGCTCTAACGGCGAGCCAGCTAACACATTTCAGCTTACTGCGTCCGACACTAGATGGCGCTATCATGCATTAAATTGAAAAAATATTCGACATGTGAAAAGGTACAAGTAATAAGTTCAATACTTTAATGTCTCATATAAAGAAAAAATAATAATAATGAAAGCATGGAGAATAGATAATAAATGACAATACAGTTTTCAATATTGCGTAAGTGGTTCTTAATGAGTCTAAAATATTACGGCGCTGAATAATTCATCGCTTATTCTCACCTGGCGCAATCATTAATGCATATTTTAGCAGGTTATTATTGATATGGAGACGGAACGCATGCAAAGCTGTTCCGGACATTGTGCTACGTGCACAAAGGGGTTATCAATAATATTGAGTTACCTTTGCGGTCGTCAACTAATAAAGCTAATTTATTTTATAGGTTTTACTTGTTTTACGTGCGTTTAATAACATTAAAAGCCGTTTTCGATTTATTATTCATACGACGACGGATCGGCGCGCGTTCTATCTGATTTAAATATTCAAAAGTAATCCATTATAGCCTATAGCATGTCAACTATATTCGATGTTAAGTGAGAGCCCTAGATAGATTAATGTAAACGTACCTGAACGTTTGTTTCGTGCTGGTAACAAAAACGTAATATCGGTAATATATAAATAATTTTGTGATTTTTATCGAGGTTTACTTTCATGAACTGTTTTAACAGGAATAAATGGTTAAATATTTACCTATTACATTTGCCCTGAGTTTGTGCAGGAGAGATTTAGATGGTCCAAGCTGATAGTGGCGCCAAAGCAGCCGACCAAAATCGCCGAATTTTTTAAATCCTCTTATGCGGTGTTAGACCAACCCGCTTAAGATGCTTGAGACACCAAACATGGCCACGCACTCAAATACACATTGTACTCAGTTGGCTCTGACGCAATTTATAATAATAACTCTTTGTGATGCATTGTATGGATAAATACAAAATCGCTACGGTACTACCGCTATATTTAACCAATAACACAATAGCCTACTTGGAGTAGCGTCTTCAGAATTCAGAAGTTATGAATGAAAAGCTTAGCAAAAAGAATATACAAAGATATTCTGTACATACTATTCTTAGGTGTGTTTATATTTCAAGTACTGTTTGAAATACCGTTCGGTAGTAGTAAGTATTTCAATAAATTGTTTCTGCTGTTAAATACAGTTAAATTAATTGCGTCTATCATTAAATAAACTTGAGGCCGAGGAACATCCGTTTTTCCGGTGGAATTAAATAAATAATGGAATTAGGGTGTCGTGACACGTTGCCTTATCGTGACAATATTTTGCTATAATCTTAATCCAAACTTAATTAAATACGCGATTAACTGGTTGGTCACGCACATGAAATTACTGCGTGCAGGAAATGAAATTGCCGCAAGCTAATAATTTGGAAATTCATTTCAATATTTAGCGAATTGTAATATGATTATTTGCAATATTAATTTTTCCGCACACACACACACACCCAAAATTAAAAAAATTCTTTTAGGAAAAGTAAACTTTTGCTTTTTTGGTTGCATACCATGATTAAAATGTGAATTAAAAAAAGTTCTTCGTAATAGTATGATTTATTTGTGTTAAATCCAGTTCTGTACTTTTGTGGGATTAAAATTAGTGTTACGTTTTAAACAAGAATCCATAGCGAGCATACAGGAAACCCAGCGCAATAAGTTTCCTGCGAGCCTGCGGCACGCTAGCAAATTAAGCGATTAAAATCTGACTTACGACCGCCCTACCGTCGCACACGCGGATAATGTGAAAAAAGCGCGGTCTTTTATGCCCGGTAATTTAACAACATACTAAAGCTTAAAGTAAATTCATTTAATATTTAAATGAGCGGACGCACGCCAACCGCGCAATAACAATTTGCAATCGGGTATTTTATCGTTGCAAACTCACCCTCGAATCGAATCGTAGGAAAACTCAATTTCCACACGCCAAATTGAAATAAAGGAAGAAGAATCGCGAAAAAAAAAAACGCGGCGTATTATTGAGGAATTGATTGAAAAGAATTGAAATTAGTTCAGATTCATTCGTGCGGCAAAAAGTTGATGGTGAGAGAGGTCGAAGGGAATGGAAACGTTTTCGATGCGGTTAAATTTCAAGCGTGCGCGCGCGGGCGCGGGACTCGGTGAAGCGAACGAATATTGTTGCCCGCCGGATGATAGAGGACAAGCGTAGGAGGAACGCAGAAGGTGAAAAGGGGCTCGGCGCGCAATAAAAAGGGCAATTAGAATGGTTGGGCGGTTTTGGAAACAGTCTGATTAAAAAAGAGAAGAGGGCCAAATAGACAGGCACAAACCAATAAAGTAATAGAGAGAGTTAATTATCACACACTGCGCGCATTTTCGTTCATCTTCGCACACTACGCCAGTAGAGGGTGATCGTCGACTGTGAAATTACGAATTGAAGGCAAGAAAATGCACGGCTTATAAATACCAAAGTGCGCGCTACCCGCCTCCCCAAGCATAATTCGTTTTATATTAAAAACCAATGAAACGATCGTTGACGAATTGCTTTTATATTATGTGCGTTTGTTCTCTTTATGTACTTAACACACACAACGCGACAGCGACAACCAACCACAGCAATAACATGTTGTGGAAAATCGTAATGCGTTATTTAACGAAAACTCCAATGGCTCGCGCTAGTTACGAGCCATCAAATGAATAAAAAACAAATTATGCCTGGGGAATTGTGCAACGCACATTAGGCAGTCATCGATTAGGCATTAGAACGTATTTAGGTATAATTAATGAGCGCACAAGGCAAGGTATTAGGTTTATTGCGTTATTCGAGCATTTTTCCGCTGGCGTGGTACAAACTTGCCATGAGTTTATTACGCCCACGGGGGTTATTATGTTAATTGCGTATTCTAAATGGCTTAATTAAATATTTATGCGGCAATAAAACTAATTTTATTTATCCACATCGGTATAGCTACCTATTTCAAACGATTAAATACTATTTTTTTAAATTTTGTTTAATAAGAATGTAATTTGTTTCTACTCTCTTGCTCTAGACATAGTAGGTATGTGTTAATTCTATCCATTGATAAAATTTGCCATTTTATTTTCAAAAAATTAATTATATAAAGAATTGCTAATAATGCACTTCAGCGCGCCATCTCGGATTCAATTATTTAACTATAACTATGATTGAATATCAATGCCAACTTTTATCCTATAGAAAAGGGCTGTCTTTAGGGATTTCCGGGCTATTATTTGAAATTTTCTTGTCGTAAAAACCACCCTTGGACTAAAACAAACATGTAAAAAAAATAATTGGTCAAACTGGCCATGGCGTTGTTGAGTTATGCGCTTACCAACAGATTTTGCAATTTATTTTTATATTATAGATTAATTAATACGAAAAATATTACTTTGTGTGTAAAAAAAATCAGAATAAATAATTTAGAAACCGATCTGATAATAGAAATATTACCTGATGTGAGCTACATGTGCAGAAATCCCGGTGTGATTGCCTAAATGGATTCAGCTTAGACACAACGTCGACAAACCTGAATTAAATATGTTCGGCACCCATGTGTGATGTAGTCGAGTGGGGAAGTCGAAGTAATAGATTCGCGTTAGGCGCCGACGCGCCGATCAGCCCACTCTCCGCCATCACCACCGCCAGCACCGCCGCCGCATCGGCTGATTAGCGTCGACAAACACGCATTAGCATTTTATTGCTTCGACCCGCCGCCGCTCCACTCCACTCGACGCTCTCCGACTACGCCCCGTAGATAAAGTGGAATTAAAACTCAAGGGCTCTTTGATCTCGGCCGTATTAACTAAACTGCACTTATTAAATGAGAGAGAGACGGCACAAAACGGCCTCAGGGCGTCGCCGGCGACGACCACACACACACACACACACTGCCACACACCCACGAATACACCGTCTGCGTGATTGTATTCTATTTCAATTTCCATGCCAGGGCATTAAAGAGACACAAATTAATAACTTGTTAGAATGATGATTAAAATATTCGCGCTCGTGAGGTTTTGGTTTAATTTTGTTTCCATTACAGCGCCGTTTTAATACGCGGCTGCAACAAACTGTGGAATAATTGAAATGTTCATAGACCTTCCACATCAGATGTAATATAATTTATTATCGTGTGCATTATTTACAAAAATTCACAGCTCTAAAAGGAAATAATCATACATAACATAATTAACTTACCATCGTTCATGTATAATTAAGTTGAGTTTTCAGTACATTGCAATTATATTATACTCTCTTGTCCTCTTAACTTAATTAATATAAATATATTCCTACGACTTGCACGAAATTGATCAATTTACATCATCTCCACGTATTTATTATTATATATTTCCTATTCATAAATATTTACAAACACGATGAGTTCATGTTCATGTTCGATAATTTGTAGTTGGTAGTACTGGTACTGATTGCTACGTAACACTCGCAAAGAAACAACGAATCTATTAATGGTAATGAAATCATCCACACAGATATTTACACAGGGGGGGGCCGCCAAATGATTTGATTGTGAGCATGTATGTACACTAGCGATATGAAGACACCTCTAGACCATTTGCAGGCCCTTGGTGATGTTCTCGACGTGCTCCTTGGCCTTCAGTCGCAGAGCGGCGATTGAGGTGCTCCGCATGTCGGGCGGCGGATTGTTGGCGTGCGCCATCGGCGGATGCCTACCGTGGTCGCCGGGCACGGGCGGCGTGAGGTAGCTGGGATAGCCGGTTTGAGGATGGCTGAGGAAGCCCGGCAATGCGGAGAGCAGCGGGGGCGACAACCACGGGTCCATTGGCAGCGCGAGACTGGAGCCGGCAGCGCGCGATAGCGTCGAGACGGCGTGATACTCGCTGAGGCCCAGACGCGCCGCCTCCATTTTCTCCTGCCGCCGCCATTTCGCACGCCGATTTTGAAACCATACCTGCAACAACACCAAAACATATATTAGATACATCAATACCTAGATAGATAGATAGGTATATAATAATAGTTTCACATTATCCGAGCTTGTTTGGATTGTGTTGCAAGTCCCTAAGTGAATCCATTAGTGGGCGAGTGAAGCTTTTGATTAATGAACATATCATTACCGCTTTGAAACATCGACACAAAAAACGACTTGATTGTATTTGCATTGTAATCATGGCGCATGCACCTTGAGTGATATAATGTATACTCAACTGGATGGTAAACGTCGGTATTTATTTGGGAAATGCGTTTAAAATTGATCACGCAGCGAAAGCGATACCTTATTATTGTTATTATGCTCGCCCGCGGGAAATGCCGCATGAAAGTTTAACTCTAATGAGATTTTGACATGCAGTCGGGCTATTGTAGTCGATATACCTATGTGTATGTGTCGGCCACTGCATTGCCACCCACTGGTGCTAACCACCTGTTTCAACCACTAACCATTTTATTCACACACGTAATAACACGGAATAAAATTTTCTATCGCTTAAATCAATTTTCTACTCGCTAAAACTTACATATTAATTAAAGTTGCGCTGTGTCTGGTCATTCTACAGTAGGTAGGTATATTTTTGGCATGATATGTAGGTATTATCACATCAAAAGAATCTTCGATAATATAAAAATAAATCGCAAAATCGATTGGAAAGCGCAAAACTCAACAATGCCAAGACCAATTTGGCCAATTCTTTTTTAAAATGTTTGTTAAAGTCCAAGGATGGTTTTTACGGCGAGAAAAATTCGAATAATTGCCGGGAAAACCCTAAAGACAGCCCTTTTCTATAGGATAAAAGTTGGCATTGAGATTCAATCATAGTTATAGTTAAACAGTTGAATCCGAGATGGCGCGCTGAAGTGCATTATTAGCAATTCTTTATATAATTAATTTCTTTAAAATAAAATTGCGAATTTTATTGATAGAATTGATACATACTATGCCTAGAATAAGAGAGTAAAAACGAATTACATTTTTATTAAACACTACCTGTACGAAGTCGCGGGCAAAACTTATAAAAATAAAATAATTGAATTCAATTTTTAACCAAATTGCCATTTGCCACTCTTTTCGTTGACGTCAGATCTGAAGACACTAAACAATGAAAACTATAACAACTTAATTTACTAATTTGTTGTTATTAATTCTGTGTGTATTTTAAAATTGATTATTTTTATTTTGAATTTGTCCTCGTGTCAATACTATAAGTAAAAAGTGGAGCTTGTTCATTAATTTATTGATCCGTTGAGTTGCTAGAAAATTAATTGGCAGATTATTAAATAATGTCGTATCAAAATTATGTAATTTAAGTAAAACAAAAAGGATCCGACGGCGTCAAGAATATACCCGCACACGCTGCAAAACCAAGTCGAAATTAATTAAAATATCTTTAATTACGCGAGCTTGGGTGTGTGTGCGCGACCGCGCTTTGACGACAAAGCTAGCCAGAAAATAATTAAATATCAAAATGAAGTCAAATTTAATATTGAATCGCCTGCAACTTGATGCGGTGCGCTGCGCCGACGTTTAATGTCGACTGCAATTGCTCGCGGGTTGTGTGTACAGTCTACAATCTATGCGCAGTCTATGTGCGAATATACCGAGGGGTCTAAAATTTTACACACTTACCACTACCGCATGTGACATGTGACGCACAAGCATGCCGCGTAATTGAAATCAATTTCAAAGTGTCCGTTAAGTTTGCGTTTTCTTTTGGCATCGTTATTACGTTTTGTTGTCGTCTTGCCATGTTTTTTTTTCTCTTGGTTGCTTGCTTGTTTGCTGCTTCTAACGTTGCGTCTAAAATTGCGTTAGGAAAGCTTTTGTGTACCCGAAGCGTAGTTTGGGGCGCGGCGAAGAATACGTAAAATTGCGTGCGCGAGGAGCGCTAAAAGTTTTTTATTAGATTTACTCAATTTCGGGCAGATTCAGCCCGCCATTAGCTCGTCTAAAGAATGACATCAAATTGTCAATTAATGCATCAGTTCCAAACCAATTTCTGAGCTGTGCCGTGGGCGAACCGCGCGCGCCCGCCCTGTTACTCTCTCACGCGGGGAGGACGAGAGGAATTCAAGAATGAAGATAATCAAGGGGTGGGTTTATAGACGGCGCTTTCCCTTTTCATCATCCGCGCAGCAAATGGCAAGAAACGCACCCTTCTTGGTGTATACTTTCTTCTTCGGTCCAAGGGTGCATACAAACAGCGGCTCTAAACACTCGCAAACACGCCCGAAATTCGGCGCATGCATTACAAACGCTTTCACAAGATGCGATGGAGTAACACCTTTTCAAAGAATCGAGCGGATATTACTTCGACGGGTGGGTGAACGAATTTAAATAAATTCAGACTCACTAAAGTTTATTTGATGCAATATAGAGTTAGTGTCAGCAATGTGGTTTACACTTGCTTTCCGGATCATCAAGCCAACATTGCAAGTTGTGCAAAAGTTAGTTATACCTATGAGTTAAATAAGTTACAGTAAACAGAGATGACAAACAGTTGATGTACTATGCATCTGAAATGTTAAAATTACATGGAAAATTGTGTATTAATTTAAATTATATTTGCACTAGCTTTAGCCCGCGACTTCGTCCCGGTAGAGTTTAATAAAATGTAATTCGTTTTTACTTTCTTGTTCTAGACATAGGTAATGTGTCAATTCTATCAACAAGATTTGCAATTTTATTTTAAATAAATTAATTATATAAAGATTTGCTAATATTGCATTTCAGCGCGCCATCTCGGATTCAACTCTTTAACTATAACTGTGATTGAATTTCAATGTCAACTTTTATTCTATGGAAAAGGGCTGCCTTTAGGGTTTTCCCGGCAATTATTCTAATTTTTCTTGCCGTAAAAACCATCCTTGGACTTATACAAACATTTTAAAAAAATAATTGGCCAAATTGACCTAAGCGTTGTTGAGTTATGCGCTTACCAACAGATTTTGCGTTTCACTCATATAGGGGAAGGTTGGCCAAGTCGTACCCCTAAAATACAATTGGCCCTAAATTGAAAGTTTTGCAACATAATGTCAGTTTTTTGACATATTCACCTGCTTTAGTTAATATAGCTTTAATTAGTATGAGAAAAATTAATCAGAAATGTTTATATTTTTGTAAAACATCAATTTAACAAAAATGTGTAAACGGTACGACTTAACAAACTGGTACCCTAAGTCGTACCATCGATACCCTAAGTCGTACCTATGCCAAAGTAATATCAAATTGAGAATATATATTAGTTTAATAATAATGTATTTATTTGCAAGGTATTTTTTACTCGTTTGGACACCCCAACACATTTGTCATGCATCCAAATTTTGCATTTGAGGCACTGAATCATACTATCTTCCCTATTCTCATCACGCTAGTAAAGTATCTTCGGCGCGCAACCGTAGCGCCGCCTCGTGGCGCAGCTGAAACCTTGAGTCCCATATGTTCTATAGGTACGACTTAAAAAACGCAAAGGGGTACGAGTTAGCAAACATGTGCTTCCCGCTTAAAACAACCTTAAACAATATATCAGAAGGAATATTTAACAAAATCCATGTAGAAAACAATACATGGATAGATGTATACCCAATATTTAACATGAAACACATATTTAGTGGTGTTTTTCTGACCACCAATGCTTTCAAGCTCCACGAGAAATTGGATGAGCACGAGGAGCAAAACTATTTTTGCGCATAACTTCTTAATTCCGATTCGGCGGGAACTGATTAAAGAATATGCTTCTAGTATGATTTCATGCTGCCCGAATACAGCATTTTAAGTTGCATAAAGTGCCTTCAAGTTAGAGAAAAGACCGAGGTACGACTTACGTGACGGTACGACTTAAGCGACTTTCCCCTATTATAGACAAAAACAATCGAAATAATAATGACGTAACTTAATTTGTTTCGATATTGCCATTTTAAACTTGTTGTTGCCAATTAGTTAAGTCTATAAAATATATATTAAAACAATAAACTATTAATTCGTAGTTTGGTAATATTTGATCGGGAATCTGTGCGTTTGACATTTCACATCGTTTGGTGTCATTAAAGTGCGCCCATAAAGTTGTCGGTGGCGTAATAGTTACAAACCGTGCACACTACAAACAAGCACCCAGGGGTAAAATCGCCCAAACGTAGGGTGAACATGTATCTTGCCACACGCGCGGTAAGAAGTTTTAAACAATCACGCAACACACAAACGCGCACGTGACCGCCACGGTTCGCAGCAAATTAAATGTCAGAGGACTTGGGATTAGCCAGATACAACAAAGAAAGCCGCGATGACGTTGATGTGTGTAACTGCCAATTTAATAGGACGGGGGGCGTATGCGCGCGATGTTTGTCAGACCACCGTCACAGGGATGTGTCGCCCCCACAAAGCCCGGGAGGAGTAATAAGCGCTATTAACTGCACAAGTCGCAACACTGACTGGTTATTATCAAAATTGACTCTCGCGTTCCCACACACACATACACACACGCATACTTTTACGAGATGTGTATTTTTATTTCAGTTATAAATGTGCCGATGAAGTATCCTTTAGTAATCAGTCAAGCATGTGATGAAAATTTTCCAACACCCTGCAGTGAAGTACTTAAAGCGCAACCAGCACAGCGAACACAGCGACAGGGTCAAAGCTTTCGGGGCAAAGCTTTCCCGAGGCAGGATTTTGCAACGGTGTCGAGCTGAACCCTCCCCGCTGTATCGTCCACAGTGAAGGGTTCGTAATTACTGTTTATTCAACATCGAGTCCCGTAATTGCCTTTATTAAACGTTTTCATATTCGCTCGCCTACCTCTCTACCACTCTACCAACTTCCACGTTTGCGTGATTGGAATTAGTTCAATTAACGTGTTTTTTTTCTGTGTTGCAGGGCGTTGAAAAAAATTCAACCGAGAGAAAAAAAAGTTCTGAATGCGCACACGTTTGTAATACGCGCACAATGACGACGAACTGTCA